GGTTTCTGGTTGCAAAGAATATTGGAGCCAATTCAGAGCTCCCAGGCACAAATGAAAGAATGTGTCGTAGAATTTGGTCATCAAAGACATTCGCTGCCATGGCAGAACACACTTAAATCCCCAAATACTTTATGCGACATGTTTGTGCACTAAAACTTTGTTTGTTGTTAACTGCCGTCATGTCCAACGATGTGGGCGCTGCCGCCGAGTATCTTTCAACACCAAGACCCATAATCGGTTGGCATCATCTCTTGCTTCTTCATTTGAAAACAGAAGGCGTCAGGTTTCGATATTTCCACTACAGCTTCACCTACAAACGTCACATCTCTTGAGCGAAACGCATCTTGTCCATTCGTTCACATCTGAGCCAAGGAATGTACAACGCACAATCCAATGCGAAGCATCTGCTCTTTCATTTCGAAACACTTTTACACGCAGATGCTTTTTTACACACGCACACACGCTTTCACACACAAACGCTTTTACACACAGACGCTTTTACACACAGACACTTGTACAGAAACGAAAGCGTCCATCGCAATTTTTCCTCAGTTTTTGACGTCCAACGTCCATTTCGTGCGTAAAGGTTGCGATTGACACCTCAAAGTCGCAATTTTTCCTCAGTTTTTGACGTCCAACGTCCATTTCGTGCGAAAGGGTTGCGATTGACACCTCAAAGTCGCAATTTTTCCTCAGTTTTTGACGTCCAACGTCCATTTCGTGCGAAAGGGTTGCGCGCGACCAATAAAAGTTGCAATTTTTCCTCAGTTTTTGACGTCCAACGTCCATTTCGTGCGAAAGGGTTGCCGGGGACGCTTCAAAATCGCAATTTTACCTAGGTTCTGGACGTCCAACGTCCATTTCGTACGAAAAGGTTGCGCGCGACCAATAAAAGTTGCAATTTTTCCTCAGTTTTTGACGTCCAACGTCCATTTCGTGCGAAAAGGTTTTTTTTTCCTCAGTTTTTGACGTCCAACGTCCATTTCGTGCGAAAATGTTTTTTTTCCTCAGTTTTTGACGTCCAACGTCCATTTCGTGCGAAAGGGTTGCCGGGGACGCTTCAAAATCGCAATTTTACCTAGGTTTTGGACGTCCAACGTCCATTTCGTGCGAAAAGGTTGCGTTTCGTGGCGCTCCGGCGGCACCGCCCCCGCCTTAAGAGAGAATAGAAGAAGAGCGAGAGGAGATCTGCAGATGTGAAGGTGTGAAGATCTAGATCTGCAGGTGTGAGGGTGTAAAGATCTAGATCTGCAGGTGTGAGGGTGTGAAGATCTAGATCTGCAGATGTGAGGGTGTGAAGATCTAGATCTGCAGGTGTGCGGATGTGAAGATCTAGATCTGCAGGTGTGAGGGTGTGAAGATCTAGATCTGCAGGTGTGAGGGTGTGAAGATCTAGATCTGCAGATGTGAGGGTGTGAAGATCTAGATCTGCAGATGTGAGGGTGTGAAGATCTAGATCTGCAGATGTGAGGGTGTGAAGATCTAGATCTGCAGGTGTGAAGGTGTGAAGATCTAGATCTGCAGGTGTGAAGGTGTGAAGATCTAGAATCTGCAGGTGTGAAGGTGTGAAGATGTAGATCAGCAGATGTGAGGGTGTGAAGATCTAGATCTGCAGATGTGAGGGTGTGAAGATCTAGATCTGCAGATGTGAGGGTGTGAAGATCTAGATCTGCAGGTGTGAAGGTGTGAAGATCTAGATCTGCAGGTGTGAAGGTGTGAAGATGTAGTATAACGGCTGCTTTTTTACGAAGAACCCTTCGCAGGCGCTCTCGGGAAAAACCATTTAGACAGATCAGACCTAAACTCAAAAACGTGCACATACCATCCAAAATGAGCGTGTCTATCTTCGAAAGTTTTGCATGACAGATTCGCCATGGGGGGAGGCGCTGCCAACCCCGTCCAGCAATTTTTGAAGTTCAACCCCTACGCTATCAACGGCCATCAGCTGCCCATAGCAACACCACGACATGAAGGAGTTAACTGCCAGACTGTTCCACAAATACCTGGATCCAACTTTCAACAACCAACGTACAGAACAAGAGGAATACGCAAGCACAGCACGGGTAGGCAGCATGGAAAAACGGAAAAACACGCGTATACCTCCAAAGAAAATATTTTCAGGTCTAGAAAGAGGGTACAGGCTTGAAAAAACGTAGTGTGGCAACAAAATGGTTACCCACGAGCATCTGGAGTAGTATGGGTTTGGTGATTAAGACCAAGGTTTGATCCCGCTTGAATATTTTCGATCCGTAATTTGTTTTCGATCCATTTGGATATTTTTTTTGATATTTTAGCCATGTTGAAACCATGCTGCTGGCCAAAAGTCCAAACACGCCCAACACCGCAACACGTTCAAACACGTGGTAAAAGGAAGGGGGTCATTTCTCAATGCGAGAAAATTTTCATTTTACAACGCGGTATTTAAGTCATTTTTCAACGCGCCAGGGGTCGTTTCTCAACGCCCCAGGGCTGTTACTTCGTGTCTAGATTTCGTGCGTGCAGCCGATGCGTTCATTTTGCTTGGTTTCTGGGTCTCTTGGTTTCTGGGTTTCTTGGTTTCTGGGTCTCTTGGTTTCTAGATTTCTTGCTTTCGGAGTTTCTTGTTTGGGTTTTAAATGTGACCCCGTAGGTTTCCGCAGTGTTTGCGTTGCTTCGTTTCCGGAAGTTCTTGGTTGGGGTTGTTAAGATCATTAGTTTCTACATTGTGTAGTTTTGCGGAATAAACCTTAAATACGCCGGAAATGAGTTGTAAATAAATCCTAAAGAAACTCTACACCAACCCAAAACCAATTCTGACAACCCTAAACAAATCCCAAAACAACCCTAAACCAACCCTAAACCAGACTTGAACCAATCATAAATAAACACTAGATTATACCAATCCTAAATAAGCCTTAAACCAACCCTAAGTAAACTCTATATAAACCAATTCAAAATAAATCCTAAATCACCAGCAAATGAACCAGAAACTGTCCCTCAATAGATTTCACACCAACCTTGAATAAACCCTAAAGCGACCTTAAATAAACCGCAAATAAACCTTCAACCAACCACAGAACACTTTAAACAAACCCGAAGTACCAGTAACTAATGGAGGGTTAGTTTATATTTTTTCTTCCGTTTTGTTTTTTTTCTGGATTTCTGGTTCTCAGCTTCTCTACTTCTCTGCTTTTCCATGTTTCTTTGCTTCTCCGCTTTTCCCTGCTGGCTTGCTTCCCTGCTTTTCTGCGTTTTCCTGCTTTTCTGCTTCTTTGCTTCTCTCCTTCCCCGCTTTTCCCTGCTTTTCTGCTTCTCCAGCTTCTTTGCTTCTCTGCTTTCTGTTTTTTTCTGCTTACCTGCTTCTCTGCTTTTCCCTGCTTTTTTGTTGTTTCTCATATATATATATATCATATATCATATTATGCATAGACATAGCCCCTAAATCAGCCCTAAATGAACCCTAAACAAAACCCAAAACAAAGAAAAATACTAAAACAACTCTAATAAATCTGAAACTAATCCTAAATAAACCCTGAACCAACCCTAAATAGATCCGAAACCAACCCCAAATGTATGTTAAACCAAACCTAAATAAACCCCTAAATAGATGTAAGCCAGGCCTAAAAAAATCTTAAACCAACGCTAAGATAAACTCTAAACCAACCCTAAGTAGGTCTTACACCAACTCTACGCAGAACCTAAACCAAACCGAAATACAGCCTAAAACCAACCCTAAATAGATCCTAAACCAACCCCAAATATATAAATGTCAAACCATGCTTAAAGAAATCTTACACCAACCCTAAATACATTTTAAACCAGGCCTGAATAGCTCCCAAACCAACCCTAAACAAACCTTAAACCAACCCTAAATAAGTCCTAAACCAACTCCAGATAAATAAACTTCAAACCAATCCTGAATAAACTCTTAACCAACCGTAATTAAAACGGTAAACCAACCCGAAACAGTTTCAAAAAACCTTACATGAAATTTAAGCATTATTCCATATATCCATTCAACAAATAAACAGCATATAAATGTAAAAAATCGTGTGGGCGCCGAGATGTGTGTAAGAGTCCCAAAAGAGCCAGCATCCCTTCTTTTTTCGGCTACGTTGCGCAGAATCTTGGCGGTGGTGAGAATTCCGTGCTTGATTTGACGGAGTTGTGTTGAAAAATGACCGTTTTTGGTGTTGGAAAATGACCGAATCTTGGTGTTGGAAAATGACCGTTTCTAGGTGTTGCAAAAATGACCGGCATCTGGTAACAGGGGTTTTGGGAATGGTGCGTGTCGTCGGCGCGGCGGCGGTTGTTTCGCTTCGGGGAGGGCTGGAGCACGGCCAGTGGCCGGATTCTTGACATTTGACGCCTGCGAGACGTTCTGTTCCTGCAGGACTGGCAAATGCTTGGGAACGCGCCCATGCCCCTACGGCAGGATGTGGAGTTGCTCGGATAGATTTGCAATCATTCATGCCCAAGGTTCCTTGGGCAGCAGTCTCTCTCACCGAAAGCACAACATGTGGGGACAAACCTGTGGTTAGGTTTGGTCAAAGGGGTTCAACATGAAATCCACACAAAATGAACACCATATACAAATGTTTGTCGAACTTCGCACACCGGCGACGCCATAAAGGTTATGTTGATAGTGTGAATGTTGGGGTATAGATCATATATATATATATAAATACACGCATAAATTAGCAGTGTTGGTTGTAATCTGAAGAGTTTAATCATTTTGACTTTAGTGACCGCATTTACGTGGTGATCTGCTTCTCCACATTGCAGAGGGCACAGTCCAACCAGTTCAGGTACCCACCTGATCCAAGTGAGATTGCTTGCCCTAAAGTATGATGATGTCCACTATGCGCTGGTTGATGGCCATAGAAACAACAGGGCTAGCCATTGTCTCCTACTCAAGGATTTATTTACTTGCATGATTTACATGCATGACTCCATTGCCATTCCATTTGAATCCAGAGCCCAATCAAGCCTTGATGATCATCGCAACCGAGTTTTGGCTCAGTCCACCGCTGCAGGGGCTGTGTGGAACAGACAGCCCATACCAGCGCAGCGCGGTGAGCAGCCAATGACTGGATGGGGCATTATCGCTTACAGTGTGGTTCCTTTCGAAAGGTTTTGAAAGCGTTTGATATGTCTTGTGGATTTTCTATTGAATTGCATCTTACTAGCAAGTTCTTTTTAAGATCCTTTAGGTGCGTTGTGTGGGGCTGACTCGGTGGCATGAAATTTCAACAAAGGTTCCCCTGGGGATCCTCTTGATGGTGCTGCTCTTGAGCGACATTAACTTTTTCATGTACATCGCTCAGAAAGTTTTGAGCGCACCTGCTACTTGCCTCAAAAAGACCAGGTTTACGCCACACTCACAGGGTGGGAGGGGATCCCCAGATGAACAAGGCTGGAATTCTGATTACTGTAAGAACTATGAAACCCAAAATCCGAACTTAATCTTTTCTATGGCCTAAGCCTGGATGGTCCGGCTGGAATTAAAATCGAATTTAATCATTTTTAAACATTTAAACCTAATTCTAATTTTGTAAAATTCGTTTTGTAGCCTCATCCATCAACAGATGAAACACCCAACCTTGAAATTCGGCTGAACGAGGTGAGCATCGGAAGTCTGCGCCTGAACGTGGCAGTGATTGCCAGCTCTTTCTGTGCTTGCTTGACGCTGCTAAGTTATGCAGCCGTTCGGCGCTCCATGACAAAATACCATGCTGCACAGCCACAGGCAAGAAGTGTTCGATCTGAGAAACTACTGACTACTGAGGAAGAACACATTGCCTGCATCATTTGCTTGTAGGGTCTGTTTGAAAGCGAGGGGCATCCTTTTGATAGGACTTCAGTAGAATCTTCCACTTATGTCTGTGTCTGCATAGGTTTTGCTTTTGGAATCTCAATGTGTCTTTGCTCAGCTCCATGGTATCTCCCTGTAGGTGATGCCTTTGAGAGACTACGACAAGATGAAAATGTTCTACGACAAGCGGAATTTCTGGATCTCAGTTGTTGGACTCTTAGCTTGGCTGTCCTCATGGCGATTAGAAGCCCTCTACCGGAAACGCTTCGAGATGGCTGCTGCAGGGACGAACCGGCCCTCTCGTAGTGTGTTGTCCCGTTTGTCATGGATTGTGGCTGGCTGTGGAGTGCTATTGCTGGCCGATCTGCCGCTGTGTCGAGCCAATTACAAGATGCAGCTGTCGTTGCATGTAACGCCTGGAAAGGAAGAGTTACTTCCCGCAGCTTCCGCGTGTGAGGGAGTGTTTCTGGGTGATGCAGGCACTGGCTGTGCTGACTTCTGCCAACAAGTCAGACTTCTTTCAGAGGAGCGACAGAGTTGTGTACTCTTTGCTCGGAAGTGGCATCTTTTAGGCAGGGCCAGTTGTGCAGTCTTGGTTGGATAGGCCAGTAATAGCAGGGAAGTGGAAACTGCTGAAGTTCATTGTTTATCCGAGTTTATCACTAGCTCTCCGCAACGTAGATTTCTTCCATCAACTTTCTCCATTGCGGCAGGCCGTTGGGCAGCGCAGTTGTTTGACCAAGCCAGGGATGTGCAACAGGACCAGAGCCATGTAGACAAGCTCTTTGCGAAGAAGACCTGTGCAGAGGCCAGGGGCAAGGTAAACCTCCAACGCCTTCGATATTTGATACTTGTTTGTAGGACCTTCAAGGTCTGACTCGAACTTGGTCGCATTTGTATAAACTATTTACAACTATTTCTTATTTCTGAGTCGATTCTGATTTCTCCACACGTTCTCATCTCCCTAGCTCAGGGGCGTCTAGTGAGTCTAGTGTTCTGAACTAGAGGCAACTCAAATCGATTGAATTTGTCCTCATACCTGCGTGTAGATCCTGCATTCTTGCCCCAGCCTTGCAGGTGCTTCGCAGTGTGGACCGGAGCAACGAGGCTGTGGATTTCCTCTGCTCCATTTGTGCAGTCCTGGCATTGCTATTGGCCTTTGCAGCCTTTGCCCAGGGTCTTCAGGCCTGGCAATTGCTTCAGACCTTAGGGCTTGCGTAGGGCGGTTCGGAATGGTCAGTGTTGCTTGTGCTTTGATCTCCCTTTTCAGGAGTTTATTCCACAAGCCAAGCAGCGCAAAGACTGAAGCTTTGGCTTGGACCGTTGAAAATGGATCGGACGCTCAGCTGCCAAGAGGCATGTGTATTCCCGAGAGCGCCTGAGCATAGGATTCTTCCGAAAAAGGAAGCTGAGATCATACGTTGTCATTACATCTTCACATCTTACATCTTCAAATCTTCACATCTTACTTCTTCACATCTTACATCTTCACATCTTCACAACTTACATCTTCTCTCTATCTCTCTCTTCTCTTCTCTTCTCTTCTCTTCTCTTCTCTTCTCTTCTCTTCTCCTCTCCTCTCCTCTCCTCTCCTCTCCTCTCTTCTCTCCTCTCGTCTCTTCTCTTCTCGTCTCTTCTCTTCTCTTCTCTTCTCTTCTCTTCTCTTCTCTTCTCTTCTCTTCTCTCTTTTCTCTTCTCTCTTCTCTCTTCTCTCTTCTCTCTTCTCTCTTCTCTCTGCTCTCTCTTCTCTCTTCTCTCTTCTCTCTCTTCTCTCTCTTCTCTCTTCTCTCTTCTCTCTCTTCTCTCTTCTCTCTTCTCTCTTCTCTCTTCTCTCTGCTCTCTTCTCTCTTCTCTCTTCTCTCTTCTCTCTTCTCTCTTCTCTCTTCTCTCTTCTCTCTTCTCTCTTCTCTCTTCTCTCTTCTCTCTTCTCTCTTCTCTCTTCTCTCTCTCTCTCTCTCTCGACTGCTAATGCTAATTCCCGAGGGTCGATCGTCAAAAAATGTGAAAACATGTGGGAAAATTGCGATTCTGACGGGCCGCGCGCAACCCTTTCGCACGAAATGAGGGCCGATTGTAAAAATCTGCGGTAAAGTTGCGATTTTGATGGTTCTCGCGCAACCTTTGCGCACGAAATGAGGGTCGATCGTCAAAAACTGCGGGAAAATTGCGATTTCGAGGTGTGTGTAAAAGCATATGTGAAAAAGTGTTTCTGTGTAAAACCGTCTGTGTGTAAAAGCGTCTGTGTGTATAAAAGCGTTTGTGTGTGTGAAACATCTGAATAGATGAAAACGTCTGCGTGTAGAAGCATTTGTGTGTGTAAAAACGTCCCTGTGTGTAAAAGCGTCTGCGTGTGAAAAATCTCTGTGTGTGTAAAAGCTTCTGTGTGTAAAAGCGTCTGTGTGTAAAAGTGTTTGTGTGTAAAAGTGTTTGTGTGTAACAGCGTTTGTGTGTAAAAGCGTCTGTGTGTAAAAACGTCTGTGTGTAAAAACGTCTGTGTGTAAAACCATATGTGGGTAAAAGCGTTTGTGTGAAAAAGCGTCTTTGTGTAAAAACGTCTGAGTGTAAAAAGGTCTGTGTGCAAGAGTGTTGGTGTGTAAAAACAACCGTGTGTAGAAGCGTCTGTGTGTATAAAAGTGCTGTGTAAAAGCGTTTGCGTGTAAAAGCGTCTATGTGTAAAAGTGTTCTTGTGTAAAAACGTCTGTGTGTAAAAGCGTCTGTGTAAAAACGTATGTGTGTAAAAACGTCTGTGTGTAAAACCATATGTGGGTAAAAGCGTTTGTGTGAAAAAGCGTCTTTGTGTAAAAACGTCTGAGTGTAAAAAGGTCTGTGTGCAAGAGTGTTGGTGTGTAAAAACAACCGTGTGTAGAAGCGTCTGTGTATAAAAGTGCTGTGTAAAAGCGTTTGCGTGTAAAAGCGTCTATGTGTAAAAGTGTTCTTGTGTAAAAACGTCTGTGTGTAAAAGCGTCTGTGTAAAAACGTATGTGTGTAAAAACGTCTGTGTGTAAAAGTGTTTGTGTGTAAAAACATCTGTTTGTAAAAAAATGTGTGTAAAGGAGTCTGTGTGTAAAAGAGGCTGTGTATAAAAGCGTCTGTGTGTAAAAACGTCTGTGTGTAAAAACGTTTATGTGTGAAAAGGATGTGAAGTAGCTGCGTGTAAAGGTGTTTTATGTAGATTTTTTTTCTATCCTTTTCATACATCTTTTAAATGTTGTCTCGTAATATATTGTGTTTATATTAATGCTGGAAGAAATTGCTCCTCTACGCTCTCGGGCCATCCGTCGTCTAGTTTTTTTGGGTCTTTGCCTCCAACAGCCGCTTTTTGGACACCTTGACCAAGGGTTGCCATTCAAGCTGACCGCTCAGGCATGTTGCAGGATCGCAGTCCACGAAGGGGCTAGATCGATCTGGTCCATGCTGAGACTGCGACTCTTTTCATGTCGGCGCATCGTTTTCAGAAAATACGGATGAGCTGAGTTGATGCAGAAAACATCTTTCAGTTCTGCACTATGACATTCCGTCTTGCTTGGAGGACTGGAAGACTTCAAGATTATCAGATGTACGTATTATTTACATTTATTTACTGTCTTGACCACCTGCATATAGTCTGCATTATACAGTATTTGCACCAAGGTTTGGACCCTCTGGTCTCCAAATCTTCAAGTCTAATCTCCAGTTGTCGGATGGTAGTGTGGGTTCACCCACTTTGCATCAAGTTGCAAAGAGATGCCTCCAGCAGAATCTGCAGGCACTGTACCAGCAAAAATGCCTGTCCCCAGATTTTGGGTGGTGCTGAGTGAAGTGATGAAGCCTACGGGGGAAGCTCTGAAAGTAAAAATGCTCTAGGTTGCCAGTGAACGGTTTTATTTGATTAAACCCCAGCGGTTGCCGGCATGTGAAGACTTTCATTGCCCCGCAAGTGTGTGTGTTTGGGGCAAGCAAAGTTCAAGCTTGGCGCTGGCCATGTGGAATTAATCCTAAAGATATATATATATATAATTTCAACATATTACAACGATGATTGTCAAATGCCTCAGCCCTTTCTAGTCCAAGATGTTTGATCCATTTAGATCTGTGGACCGCCCAGGTTGCTCTCAGCGTTGCTCCAGAAGCATGGCCTTGCTTTGATGCACTGCACACTGCGCGACAATCGGCGTGGTGCCCTGGTTGCCCGGAATTTTCAATGGCCAACCTGTGGTTGTGGATGTTAATTTGTATGGAACTGCCTGCAGAGGATTGCAGAGAAGATTGAACATTTTGTTGGTTCCATTTTCTGATAGAGGCAGTGCCCTGCTAAGACGTCAATGTTAAGGGGCATTGTACTCCGCACGGCTTGATGTTGGTGCAAATATTGCTGACGAAGAATGGCCACACTGGTAGCTTTCATTTGCATCCCTATTCGATTTGATTGTGAAAGGAATGGTTCTGTTGGGAATGGTCGCAGCTTCCAACCAGGTTTCCTGCAGATGCCATGAAGAACCTGGTTCCAGCCAGTTGTTCCCTATCCTATTTCCATCAAACACTGGGTTCAAGCGATTCACCAAGACGTGGACAGCTTGAATAAGGATATCCCCGCTCTATTATTCTGCAAGTCGTAGACGAGGAATTGACCTAGAGACCTAGAGTGGGAAGTTATTTGACACCCGCTGACTACAGTCTTGTGACACCTTGTGATAAATTGTATATGATATGATATGATAGTATGTTATCTTATATTGTATGGTATTTTCTTATATTATATTATTTTATATTTTATCATATTATATTATATTATATTGTATAATATAATATAATATCATGTTATATTATATTATATTATAGTATATTATAGTATATTATGATTATATTATCTTATATTATAATTACATATTCTATTATATTATAAGTATATTGTATTATAATTGTATTATAGTTATATTATAATTATATTATAATTATATTATATCATATTATATTATATTATATTATGTTATTAAATATTATATTAGTATATATATATATTATATTATTTTATATTATATTATTATATATTATATTATTATATATATTATATTATCATATATTATATCATATTATATATTATATTATTTTGTATTATATTATGTTATATTATATAGAAATTTATTATTATTATTATTAAATTACTGATTATATTAAATTATATTATATAATATTATATAACATTATATAACATTATATTATATAACATGATATTATATTATATTATTATATTATATTATATTATATTTATTATATTATATTATATTATATTTTATTATATTATATTATTTATTTTTTGTTATATTATACATTATATTATACATTATATTATCATATTATATTATATATTATATTATACATTATATTATACATTATATTATCATATTATATTTTATATTATATTGTATCATATTATATTATATCATATTATATTATATCATATTATATTATATCATATTATGTTTTGATTTTTTATGCTATATGTATCGTTTATGTGTCGTTTTGAAGTTTGGCTCAGAACCTGCCGTAGAAGCTCTGCAATCTACCTGAAGATCGTGCGTCAGAGCCTGCTGGATTGTATAGGGTAGACTTGGCGGCGTTGGTAAAATGGAAAGCATCTGCGGAAGTCAGAAGTTTGTCTTCGAACAGGTCGGTGGGAGATGCCTCTAGGTGATGCACTTCGCAAGTTTTTTCTTCTGATACTTCAAACATGTAACGATCTGTCAGTCTGTGTCAAGAATCGAATGCGTTGTCTTCAGAAGTTATGGATTGCAAACGGCTGAAACCACTCGCCGCTGTAAGGCCGTCTCGTTTGCGAAGATGATTTCCGTTCTGTGGTTGAGACTGAAGAGCACAGGAGCTTGCGAAAGGCACGTCGAGAAGCAGCGGAAAAGGAGCGACGCAGCAGCAAACGCGATGAACAACGCAAGAAGGTCGCCGAATTTCTGAGGTGTGGAACCCGCGGAACTGACACGGGGTTGGCGGTTGTTGAAATCAAATCGAAGTAGAAGCGGCGATGTATTGCGAAGAGGTGGTAATCTCCATTTCCTTAGAAATGCTGCTGAGACTTAAGTGGGGGTTGTAAGGCTGGGATGATCAGAAAAATCCTATGATGAAGTAGCTTTTTGTAGGACCAATGATGGTTAAAGAAATGCAGAAATACAATAATGACACGACTGTCTGAGCCAAGCCTGTTGTAGCATTCAGGAGATCATGAAGATACAGGGCTAGGGCCAACCAAATTTCTGGTGCCAATGCGGGGAAGGGGTTTCAACCATCAAATGGAGGAGCAAGATGGTGCCTTCCACACACACACTGCCAGAGGACTAAGAATTCCGATCATGTTCCCTATACGTTTCAATCACAGGAAATGTACTTACAATTTGGACCCCTCAAAGACGAAGAAAATCCAAAGGCCCAACGGGGGGCATTTTGCCTTGGAGCAATTTTTGGGGGCTGTGTCAGACTGCAAAATATTTTTGGGGGCAGTTTTGCCATTCAATATTGAATATTTTACAAACTGTTACTGGATGGACTCCATGGCTTTGGCTCAATACAACAGCACAGAACCATGCATTAAGAACTAGTTTTCCCATCGAAGTCCTTTTGTTGTTTGAAACGCAGTCGCAGGATTGGCTCAGCGTGGCTGAGAGAAATTGTGCATTCAAAATTACAAACCATCCCAACGCAAAAAGGTATCATGCCCATTTTTGTGACTTGCCTTCAAAATGGACACATCAAAAGCGGTCCTTCTACTCACGGCAATGGGTACTTGTGGTTTTTGTGATGTGCAGATTCCAGTGCCTCATCATGCTTAGAGCATTGGCACGTGGCCTTTCATGACAAGTTTCAAACCAGTCAGCCACAGTGGCAACAGCCAACCGGAAGAAGCAACCCAATCTAAAGACGTTTTAAATGTATGCAAGTTATCATATGACTTTGTAACCATCCAAGAATCTTTGATCAAACCCTGAAGAATCTTTGACTATAGAAGGGTTCATTCGGTTCTTCCTTTGCAATTGTCAAAGGTCCTCAACTTGCCGCAAGAAGACTGTCTGGTACCGGTGTTTTTTGTAAGCATGTTTCAGTGTCGAGAACGACTCCAGGCTGAAGAAGTTCGGCAGTGATGTGAACGCACCGAAGACATCCTGCTGCGGTTTCTTCTCTACGTATCCTTTGCAAGAAGCCGCGCGAGAAACTTTCTCTTTGCTCAGATTATTTTCTCCTAAATGTTCATTTCAGATGCATATCTGACCACAGGTGCTTGGGATTTCACTGAATCGTGGGCAGTTTGCTGCCGAAAGCTGCAGGATAAGCATTGGAAAATGGTGCTTCTGCTCATGCAATGTGGGGCTGATGCGAAGAAGAAGGACAGTGCAGCTTGAAGCGTCGTGCCAAAGCAACGCTACTCTATTAGAGAAATGCCAAATGCTTTTTGTTTCATCAACTATCATGATAAATCATGACACATGGTTTCATGCTTTTGGGCTTCCAGGCCAGTCATTGCATCTCTCCGAGTGCACGGTGAAAAGTGGAATGATGAAGTGAACCAAAGTACTGATGTCATTCACAGAAAACTATATACACATCCTTCGTACCATCACATCTAGATCGCACAATTGAGACATACTTGTACGCATTCGTCTATCTCTCTCTATATCTCTCTCTCTATATCTCTCTATATCTTTCTATATCTCTTGATATATCTCTTTATATATCTCTTTATATATATCTCTATATCTCTCTATATCTCTCTATATCTCGCTATATCTCTCTATATCTCTCTATATCTCTCTATATCTCTCTGTATCTCTCTCTACATATCTCTCTATAACCCTCCATATCTCCCTATCTCTCTATATCTCCCTATCCCTCTCTATATCTCTCCATATCTTTCTATATCTCTCTATCTCTCTATATCTCTCTATATCTCTTTATATCTCTCTATATCTCTGTATATCTCGCTATATCTCTCTATATCTCTCTATATCTCTCTATATCTCTCTATATCTCGCTCTATATCTCTCTATATCTCTATATCTCTCTATATCTCTCTCTATATCTCTCTATCTCTCTATATCTCTCTACATCTCTCTATATCTCTCTATATCTCTCTATGTATCTCTCTATACATCTTTCTATATATCTCTCAATATCTCTCTATCTCTCTATATCTCTCTATATATCTCTCTATATATCTCTCTATATCTCTCTATATATCTCTCTATATATCTTTCTATATATATATATATCTTTCTATATCTCTCTCTATATCTTTCTATTTCTCGCTATATCTCTCTATATCTCTCTCTATATATATCTCTATATCTCTCTCTATATATCTCCCTATCTCTCTATATCTCTCTATATCTCTCTATATCTCTCTATATCTCTCTATATCTCTCTATATCTCTCTATATCTCTCTATATCTCTCTATATCTCTCTATATCTCTCTATATCTCTCTATATCTCTCTATATCTCTCTATCTCCCTATATCTCTCTATATCTCTCTATGTATCTCTCTATAAATCTTTCTATATATATCTCTCTATATATCTCTCTCTATCTTTTTCTATATCTCGCTATATCTCGCTATATCTCTCTATATCTCTCTATATCTCTCTATATCTCTCTATATCTCTCTATATCTCTCTATATCTCTCTATATCTCTGTATATCTCGCTATATCTCTCTATATCTCTCTATATCTCTCTATATCTCTCTATATCTCGCTATATCTCTCTATATCTCTCTATATCTCTCTATATCTCTCTATATCTCTCTATATCTCTCTATATCTCTCTATATCTCTCTATATCTCTCTATATCTCTCTATATCTCTCTATATCTCTCTATATCTCTCTATATCTCGCTCTATATCTCTCTATATCTCTCTATATCTCTCTATATCTCTCTATATCTCTCTATATCTCTCTATATCTCTCTATATCTCTCTATATCTCTGTATATCTCTCTATATCTCTCTATATCTCTCTATATCTCTCTATATCTCTCTATATCTCGCTCTATATCTCTCTATATCTCTCTATATCTCGCTATATCTCTCTATATCTCTCTATATCTCTCTATATCTCTCTATATCTCTCTATATCTCTCTATATATATATATCTCTCTCTATATCTCCCTATATCTCGCTATATCTCTCTATATCTCCCTATATTTCTCTATATCTCTCTATATCTCTCTATATATCTTTCTATATATATCTTTCTATATATATATCTTTCTATATATATCTTTCTATATATATCTTTCTATATATATATATCTTTCTATATATATCTTTCTATATATATCTATCTTTCTATATATATCTTTCTATATATATATCTCTATATCTCTCTATATCTTTCTATATATATATATCTCTATATCTCTCTATATCTCTCTATCTCTCTATATCTCTCTATATCTCTCTATATCTCTCTATATCTCTCTATATCTCTCTATATATATATATATCTCTCTTTATCTCTCTATATCTCGCTATATTTCTCTATATCTCTCTATATCTCTCTATATCTCTCTATGTATCTCTCTTTATATCTTTCTATATATATATATATCTCTATATCTCTCTCTATATCTTTCTATATCTCGCTATATCTCTCTATATCTGTCTATATCTCTCTCTATATCTCTCTCTCTATATCTCTCTATCTCCCTATATCTCTCTATATCTCTCTATGTATCTCTCTATATATCTTTCTATATATATATCTCTCTCTGTCTATATCTCTATCTCTCTATACCTCTCTATATATCTTTCTATATCTCTCTATATCTCTCTATATCTCGCTATATCTCGCTATATCTATATATATATATATCTCTCTCTGTCAATCAATCAACGTATCAATCAATCAACCAACCAATCAATCAATCAATCAATCAATCAATCAATCAACCTATCAACCTATCAACCTGTCAGCCTATGAATCAATCAATCAATCAATCAATGAATCAACCAATTCAATCATTCAATCAATCAATCAATCAATGTATCAATGTATCAATGTATCAATGTATCCATCCATGCATCCATCCATCCATCCATCCATCAATCTATGAATGAGTACAACCAAAATAACTATAACTCATCGCTGCATCTCAAACTCTGGAAGAAACCTGCAAGGAAAAGACCAATATATGGACCTTTGAGGGAACTGTATTTTATGTGTGTATGTCTCGTAACACCAGGGTTCATTTTCAAAGGGTGTGCCCAAGCGGCAACTCGTTGTGAGGACAGTTTTGGAAAAACAGTCTTGGACTTGGTTGATAGCCCACCAGTGCGTGATCACATTCTGCAGCTCCATTTGCGCAGGGTGACGGAGCAAGAGCCCAGGACAAAACCGGAGAAATTGATCAGATGACATAACATTGTTTTGTAATGTTTTGTAATGTTTTGTAATGTCTGGCATGTGAAATTCCCACTGGACTGCCATGTTTGACGCATGTTGCGATCATGGGCCATGAACAACCGCAGTGATCTTCAAGTTGATTTTGCTCGCAAGTCCCATCATTGCTCCAACACAGAACCGTAGATTTGGTGAAGGAAGAGACCCCAAAGCACGCAAGTATTGGAACATGCAATTCCACAAGGGGAATGTTGGCTTTAGACTGCCAATATGGAGGTTTCCTAAAATGGGGGTACCTCTAAATCATCAATTTCAATAGGATTTTCCATTATAAACCATCCATTTTCGGGGTCCCCCATTTTAGAAAACCTCCATATCCCTGTGTGACATGATACCTGGCCCCAGCAGATTTGATTGAAACTCTAGAAATTGGTGCAAATTTGCATGTGGGTGTGTGCTCGCAGACAAGCACCGGAAGTTTCAATCGTTGGTTTGTGGTGGTGGGTGGCGCATGTGCTAAGCTTTTGATCAATTTCGCCGGAAATAAATGTTAGAATTTTTGAGACGTTTGGTGAACAGCACTGAAAAGAAACAAAAGAAACATGAAAACTTCAGGCCAGAAAGGCGCAGAGGGGACCCCATGGTATTGTAGGGCAGGGGACTTTGGATGTCAGTGCTGTTCATTGGTTTCCGTGATTTGGAGTTTATGGCTTCATGCCGACAATTTCTGCCGAAGGGTGTTGGAGACCCAAGTCTTCCAACACTGATGGAAGTTGGGCCCATGACTTGTGATTTGCACTGCAAGTATATAGATCAGTGATGATACAAAATGCTTGGGGCTTTAGTGATGGAGGTATGCAATGACACTACTATGCAATTCGTTTCTGCTGGCCATACGTTTGCCTTTTGCAGTTTTCCAATTATTCCATATCCTCTAAATTACATCTAAATCTAAGCTTTATTTTTTAAAGCAAGCCTTCAACATCCCTTTCGCGCATCTTGATTGCAAGTCATGGTGCTGCAACTAGTGGATTTTAGTGGCAATGACCTGGAAGCCTTTTGATTTTCCAGGGAGCATTGTGAGCATTGTATTGGATCGTATTGGATCAATTGTATTGGATCAATTTGGATCACACTCTGGACACTGGTCCAGGCTGGTCGCACAGCGTGAACTGAACAGAGAGGCAATGACGGCAATGACTCAAGCGATTCTCATGTGATCAGCGAATAGCACCGATGATAGCACGATCGGGCGAGGCTACTGAGAAGCCGGAGTCCGAGAGTCCAATGTAAAGTGTTTGATTACAATGTTTGAAGGAATTAATTGCGTCCAAGAGTGCTGCTGAAGAGTGGCATGCGGTATTGAGATGTATTGGTTCTGTTGCAATAGAGAATCCCTGCTGTATTTTATAGAGATGGGGCCAGCGATTCCTTAGTTCTTAGATATGGATGTAGCGTGCCATAGCCGCTATGAGAACAAGCCTGCACTTTGGACTCTTGCACATGATTCGTTCCAGGGAGGTCAGGGAAGGATATTTATATTACATATATTTACTGCGGTGTATTCCTGCCAAGATTGATAGCTGGGTGTTTTAAATAGATGTCCAACTTCTTGTTGAACAGAGAACTGTGGTCACCGTGGTCACCGTGGTCACCGTGGTCACCGTGGTCACCGTGGTCACCGTGGTCTAGGGAAAGAACAAACTTCTCGTTCTGGCAAGATTTCCTTAAAGCTGCATAGGCTGTACAGGTGTATGCACTGTGTATGTTGATGTCTATCCAGTTTTGTGCAGGCAGAGTAACAAATCCTCCGAACAAGTCTTTAGAAGACTGTTATTTTGCAACCAATGACTTCAATGACTAAGCTGGAGCTCCCAATGAGTCCCAGATATCGATGATATATGAAAAATGGGAAGCCGAAACCCAAAGATGTTGATGCGATTTCACCATCCCTTTTCCACCATGCAGTTGATTGTAGGACACTGATTTGCAAAGACGACATTTTTCCCTGGAACCTCCCAGCATTGATGATTTTCGTAAGCGACACGCTGCGAACGGCATGCAAATTTGCACGGCTTTTCTGATTTGGACTGATGCGTGCCTGGTTTGGAGAAGATAGAATCGTGTTCGTTTACATGCTCTTGTGTGCGGGCATCTGCCAAATTTGTCGACAAGACAGGACATGCACAGAGAGGAAGTTCGCCCAAACAGATACTTCCTACACTGATGTTGAATCAGAGAGAAGCGGCAGAAGTGGCTCCAGTGTAGATAAGTCGGCACACGTGCCAATGCCAAAGCATATAGTGAGACTCAGACACAGACCCAGATGCAAAAACACAAACAGAGTCAAATCAAATATCAAATGAAAGAACTTGCTTTGTCATGCTTCTTTCCGCTTCCTTCTACCAGATTTGCAGTGAGATCTCATCCTATGCAATGAGGTCTCCTAAAACAAACCAGTACACCAAAGGTCAGTGAAAACTGACTGGCCCAGACGTGGACGTGGTTCACACTGGGGAAGTTGAGCAGGTAGACTGCACCAGGCCAGCAGCTGGTCTTAGACCCTTGCACTCTTTCTGATTTAAGTTGGAGAGCTGAAAATATTCCGAAGCCATCAGGAGGCAAAGTGTGAAATAATGCTACCTGCCCCTCCTGCATCCCAAACGTCAAAGGGAGGGCTGTTATAATTGGTTTTATATGCTTTCATGGGATCCACCCACTGAAGCCCCAGAAATTTTGGATGTCCGAATAGTGTGGAGCACCCTAGAGAACTTGCATCAAGTGACTGGCAATACGCATGAGTACCGCAGTACTTGTCACTACATCAAGGGCTTGTGTTCACGTGCGGTTTTCGAAAGGGGTCGATTCCTGTTGCGCGTTTGGGCCGTTGCACTGTATCTTCAGCATTAGAGAAGCCGTAGTGAATGCTGGCATTCCATCTCGGTCGAGCTGTTGCAGTATTTTGCAGAGACAGTCTGGGAGGGCAAGATAAGATCTACCCCTTCAGTTTAGAGATGTCTGGAGCAAGGATTGATTAGTCGTAAGACTTGCTGGAAGAGCCACGGGCAGCAAGTCAACAGTAAATCCCTGACTTCATGTGGATTGAACTTTCTGCTTATGGTTTGTGGTCGCATTGGTGCCAGTGCATGTCGCGCTCACAAAGATGATATTGTTACATGATGTTACATGTGAATGTGAAGGTTGCCATTCCTTGAGGTCGTTAGTCTTGGATGCTGTTAAGCAAAACGGTGGGGCATTTGCCTACGCGGACCCTTCACTGCGTGCTGATAGAGGTGGGAGATTGGCTGGAGACTTTGGTATACACGGTAAGATGAGAGGGTGGGGGCGGAAAGTTTCACACCAAGCAGCTCAGTTTCTTGATGCCACATTCTTCTTCTCCTTAAACAGTTAAAGTTAAAGTTAAAACATGTTAAAACTATTCCTTGAGTCTCTTTGGGCAAATGTTTTTGGAGAGTATCTTGGCCAATCCGGTGAAAATTGACCTCCAGGTGAAACTGCGTGAAACTGTGAATCCATTCCGTTTCATTTGCATGGCATGGTGCCGGGTTCCACAGGTTTGGCCTTGGAAGCGGTAAAGCGCAGTGGTCTGGCTTTGCAGTTGGGCTTCCCAGGTGGTCCCTCTGGCGACCTTGGTGAATGACAAGATGTTGCAATAACAACATGGAACAGAACGGTTTGCCGTTTGCCATCCCTCAACGTTGGCAATCAAATGATATCAAATGACTACAGTGCTACTTATTTCATCTTATTTCATACCTTCAAGCTCGGTAGATTGGGGACGCGCACCAAAAAGCCATCCCTTTCTTGGACATTTTATATAGTTCCTTGAGTGCTCTGATTTTCAAAAACCTGGCTTTATCAGTAAATTGAGTAAATATACTAATACAGATTTGATCAGATTTGGGTATGACTGAACTTACAAGCTATTCTACCATATTTCGGGGGATGATCCATTCATTGCCATTCATTTACCTTTTAAATTTACACACATGACCTTCATCAGGTTTGCCTCAGAGACTTTGCGACATGACAAGGAGCTAGTGATGCAGGTGTGACCTGGTGTGGGAGCCGCCAAGCGGGCTATGAAGCCACACCAGGCCATGGTATCGAACCATGATTTTACATGGAGGTTTCCTGAAATAGGGCTACCAGGGGCTACCCCAAATCCAAGTCATTAGACCATTTAGTATTGAAACCTATGGTTTTGGGGTACTCCCATTTCAGGAAACCTCCATATAATTTATTGTAATTTTATAGAACCATTTTAACCATCCGTTTTGTTTGGTTGATGATTTTGACCCATCACCAGTTCTGGCAACAGGACTCTGAGTAGCAACCAGCTCACCAATTGCCTAACTACCAACTCACAAACCAACTCACCTCATCAATCAAATTGCCAACCATTTCAGTCCATGACTAATCATCGCACTAGTCAACCCACTACCTCAAGAACTATCTCACCACCAACCCACTCATTAGTCAAATCGTTCTCTGCCTTGCATTTGCTCCTGTTTTGCTGAGCTTCCAAGTGTTGTATGCAGCTGTGGTAGTAAAATGTTTGCGCTTTGGCGGAGGATTCTCGTCGATTCTGCGGCTTGAAGCGTGTTTGGAAAAGTAGCACTTCTCTGCCCATAGTTCTGGCAAAGTGTGCGTTTGCATTGGCTCAGGGAACCTGTTGTGCTTGTATGAGCTGCGGCTGCGTTCTGTGCTGCAGAGGGTGTTCTTCAAGAGCGCAGTTAAATTGTGTTGTTTCTGCTAGTTGCAACTCGAACGCGTGAAGAACACTTTTTAGAGATAAACAAGGTAACAAGCAGCTTTTCTGCATTCAATTTCAACATATTCCTAAATAAGTTTGGATGTACCACGATGGCTTGTGCCGAAGATGTCGATGTTGTGGTTGATCACCTTGGCGGTCCCACATCCAGCCCCATCCGTTGCATAATGCCATCCGTTGCAACATGAATGCCTCCTTGAAGCTGATCGATACATTCGATACCTCCATAAGCGGTGTGTCATCAGATTTCCAGACACCTGGGCATGAATATGTATTGCAAGAGTGTTTTGCAACAGCATTGTTGCATATGTTCATGGAGTGTTGATCATTCAAGAGTGCTTGTGGAAGTTTTTCGAGAGTGTTTTTGGACACATTTTGTGGCATCATACAAAAAATCAGTTTTGAAATGTTTTGAAACTAAGGACTTTGAGGGTTGCGCTGCCAAAGTCTCCTGACGGAAAGTTTCTTTAATGAAGCCTGTCTGTGGTATTGCGGCATTGCGTTTAAGTTTGATTTCCAAATTTAGTTTTAAGCAGGTCCACTTGATGTCAACCACTGGGGCACCCTGCTTCAACTTGCCGTATTTTCAAAGTTGCACGTTGGCTCCGTCAACTTGGGAGGCAGTGGAACACTGCGGGTTTGCTTTGCAGTTTGTACCTGAGAAACTGCGTGCAGACGTGGAGATTGCGCTCAAAGCCGTGAGGTCTTGGGGATGGTGGTTTGTGGTAGGGGGATGTGGCAAATCGCTTTTGTCTTGTCTGTCCGAAGTCTGTCCCTCACAAATCATCAGAGAAGACTTGGACTTGGGTGAGAGAAACATTGAACATCGGACAATTGGACAATTTTGAATTAAGGGTTTGATTAGGTTTGATACTGTCTTGGCAAATCCTGCAGTGCACAAATCCAAAACTCGTCCACACTGTGGCGCTTGCATCGACACTCTTGCAGGCAGAATGGCGACGCATTGAAGCTTTTGCCAAAAGAATTGAGGTGAGCGTAGCAACTCACAGCACCAGATCACTTGGACTTCATTTTCGTCTTGTAATCATATATTTGAAATTATTTGAATATGATGTAAATTGACTATGATCTTAGACCTACAGTGGGGAGTGTCAGTGTCAACCGCATGTAGCGGGAGAAGACCCATGAAGACCATATCACTTGGCTTTAAATTCAATGGAGCCGTGTGTAACCTCACAAAGCCAAAGTAGATTGCACCTGGATCTTGGTGCCAGCACAACAACATCTCTCACTTTCTTTCCTCGTTGCAGTTCCTGTGTCATCCATCTCTGCTTCTGCCGATCTACAGGGCGAATCAGAAGCTCGTTTTGGAAGCTCTGAAATCAGGACCACCACCTTCCATCAAGGCGCCATGCGCTTTAAATGACTGGTCTTCAGACACTCGTTGAATGAGAACAACATCATGTGTTCACTAAAATCCGGATTTTTCAACTTTGAGAAGTCGCTGCCGGCTTTCCACTTCCACAATTGGTGAACGACTCGTGCCCCGACATTGCAGTTTAAGGGCTCAAACAGGGGGGGTTTTGCCTCACCAGGGAGGTCAAAAGCCAATGGCAACGTTCCTTGATGGCCTGCACCTGGTGGAGAAGAACACCTTCCTTGAAGTGGTTGATGAAAAGGTCCACTGAGTCACTGAGTCCACTGGCACTCTAAATTTAAAGCATTTTAAAGCATGCTTTGTAGAAAAAGTGTCAACAACTGGGACTTCAATTCAAACCGGCGTGTCATTGAATCAGATTCTGGCAGTCTTTGGTTCAATAATGTTCAATATGTTCAATGATTTTGAGTGATATACAGTGCATCAAAAGTTTTTTTGGGACTTTGTGTCCGGGCTTGGGAGTCTTGCACCAGGAGCCGCAGGGCAAGGTGATGCGGTCCATGTCGTGGCATGATGGCGACTCCAACGGCACGCGCTCCTCTGACCCCGAGACAGAGAAAGCGACATCAGCTTCAGACGGCGGCTCTCATAGCCTGCTAGCCTCCACTTCCATTGAGACCCATGAAACCCATGAAATTGGCGAGATCCGTGAGATTAAGCAGGTGGAGCAAGTGGAACAGGTGTACATTCCCTCAGACCTGGCTCCCAGCGCTAGTGTTATTCCGAGCATCGTGGATCCAATGCAAGGTGCCATGCGTGGAATTGGTGGAGCTCCTGGGCATCATGCGCATGCAAAGAAGGCGTGCAAACCTTGTGTTTTTGCCGCCAGCCGCACAGGATGTGCGAGTACTATTTGTGAATTTTGCCATGACCATCACTTCTCTTGCGGTGGGAGACGGCCTCGCAAGGAAACCCGTGAGCGATTCAAGGAAGCGGTTGAGTCAGTTCCTTGGAAGTATTGCTGATGATGCCAATGATTCAATGGACTGGAAGGGAATGTTTTTTTTTGCAGTGATTTGAAAAAACACACACACACAGACAAACTCCATGGCAAAATGATAGGTCTGGAATGGGTCTTGGTAGGTTTACACATTCCATTACATTGGATTTAATTGCGTTAGGTTACATACTAGTGGATTCATAGATCACTTATTAATACTTATTACTTTTTTTTGTGCCAGCCGCTGAAACAGAGCAATATATATTTTAAGTTTAAGTTCTCCCTGCAGCTTGCTTCCAAAGACTCAAGAACTGTCATGTGGAAGATGGGATTGCCTGACGAGAAGGTTGTGGGATCCGAATCTAGTCAGCATTGTCCCTGAAGTATTCTAGGCAATGCAACCGGTTCGGCTAAGAGATTCCCAGCAGACGCAGAAAGTTCTGCAGCACGTCGGCTGTATGCGTTGTGTTGCTGAGGTTTTCGCGAGGCAGATGGATTTCAACGATCGTTGTCAGATTCTGCAAGCCATGGCTCAGCAAAGCCCCTACATGCGTGGCATTATCGTAGGACGGCTCGACCAGGCCTGGCCCCCCTAGCAGAGACCGGCACCAGTTACGAGGCAAAGTATAGCAGAGTCAGAGTCGTCACCCAGGATGAGGCTTTACTTCAGACCGGAAATCAGTCCATTTGTTATCGGGGCAATATCAGCTAATGAATATGAAAACACTGCAAAGATCCTGAGGGAATTCTATCGCAAGCTGCACCTCTGCAATGCTGCAGGAATGAGGCCTCATGGCAGTTGAAATTCTGATGGAGCTCCCTGGAGGAGAAATGCACGCTGACAGGTCCGGGACGATCTGTTGCCGGACCTTTATGGTCAGAGGGATGGGTGCCAAGGGCAGACCTCCCTATTTGTTTCAAAACTCAATTCCGAAAATGGATGGAAACTGCACATTTAGGTGCCCCTTTCCGTTGTTTCATCTTGGACTTCCAGGATTGGGCAATGTGACACCTACAAAAAGAGTTTGCCCTTGAATTTAAAGACGTAACACATGTTTGCTACATCCAACTGCTTGCCCAATCCCGCAGCTTTGACTGCCAAAAGTAAGTGCAGCCTGGTGGCAAAGCGACCCGATTTTGCCAGATTTCCATTGGCACAATGTGATACAGTGAGAAGGCTGCCTTAGGCCTTAGGCCTTTGCAAACTGCCGGCGGAACTGCAAATACAGCTCCTGCACCAACATTGATTCGATGATCTTGTTTCTGCTTGGCTTCTGCCATCTTCAGCCATTTCTCTGGTCGGCACTCCACGGCCATTAAGTCATAACCTGCAGGTCGACGAGCGATGCTGGCCAGTGTTGGTATTGACAACGGCTCGCAGCGTTGCAACTTCCTGAGGAGAGTCTTGTAAAGATACTGGTAGCACTGCATTAAAAGTTGCACTCTTCTTTGTATTTTGAATGGGGTTGCAAACTCTTGAAACAACCACAGTTCAGCGGTGTAGTTCAGGGTGACATCTCACATTTGTAGGAATTTGAAGGTTCCCATGTCTTCAAGTAACGTCAACTTGGCCTTGGCGGCGTGTTTGTAGTGCAACCTGGCTTTTTATTTCAACCTTGGGAAAAGAGCAAAGTGACTGAATCCTAATTTGATAATTGTATATAATTGTCCCATAACTTTCCCATAATCTTCCCGTAACTTGGGTCGCCAAGCTGAACGTTGCCAAACAAGTACCTTGTCACATCAACGTCAAAGTCGCGTGGCCAGCTGCCAGGCTGGGAGATGCTGAGGTGGAGGCTCAGTTGGCTGGGGGCTGACTTACTGTGCTGTGTTCAAGTTGTAGTTTGCGTGTTTCCGCAAAGGATCTCGAAATTCAGTAGTCGAACTAAAAGCTTGCAGGAAAACGGAAGAATTCTTTTTTGAGAACAATTGAACAATATTTGAACAGTATCAATGAATATCCTATTGTATCAATGTCCCATAAACATCCATAAACGAGCAACAGCCAATGGGCTTCGACTCCGTTTCGGCTGAGGAAGCTCTTGGCTCTCCCTTGCGTCACGCAGATGTGCAGCTGAGTCCGGGGACTGAGTTGGGAGCCAGCTACACGATGCCACGATGGCGGACACTTTTGGACCTGTTTATTGTGGGAGGGGCAAGACCTACTGTTACCATTTGTTACCATATTTTTGGGATGAACATCCATTTACCTGTGTTGATGTTTGGGGTAGTATTGACCCATGGCTATATTTCAGGATCCATTCAATGAAGCAGCCACGGAATCTTGGTTCGACAAAGGTGGACACCAGAGGCTATCAAGGTAGGACTTGTCCCGTCTGCGTTTCTGAGCATTTGGCAGGTCAGGCCTCGGCAATCAAAAATCTTGCCATGATTGATTGCCAGACATTAACAATCCCTGCAGAACCTAGCGTTCGCCCAACATGACATACTGTAACTTTCACCACAATTCTCACATCTCTCTCATCAACTTCAACACAGGGTACAAATAACATAACAACATAACATGGTATAAATCTTCCACCCCCTCAAACACTATATGTAGAAAGGCATATTAATGGATTTGATATGTAAAATGACATAAATACAGGTTATAAACCTGCCACCCCTAAAACAATATAAGAAAGGTATAATAATGGGTTCACTCTGTGAAATAATATAATATACGTAAATGGTCTAAATCTGCCACCCCGTGAAACAATATGTAGAAGGGTATCGGGTATAAGAATGGGTTTACTTTGTAAACCCATTATAAATCAAGGGTCTAAATTTGCAACCCCTTAAAACAATATGTAGAAAGTTATGATAATGAATTCACTATGTAAAACGCAACGTTTCCGGTTTCCCTGTAACTCTCAACCCTTCGCAGACTTTGTCGGGATCTGTTGAAAAAGAAAGTCATTTTGTGCAACAGGCGTGGGCTCCGGGCAAACATCCGGTTCCGTGCGTAACAATCAGTGCACCTATACGAACCTACAGTACGGCGGGGGAGTTTTGCATATCGACCATGCCAAGGATCTGATCGGCGTGTAGTCTTGGAGGCAGTGAAACAGGCAAGAACTCAGGGTTTCAGCACTGTATCACGAATATAACATATGAGTGTAAAAATGGGGTACCTCATTCCATCCACTAGTTTCAAACCAAAATTTGAGACACCATATGCTCAAATCTCCCAAGGTGCCACGCATTGACTCTGCCACAACCCATGCTGTTGAGGATGGCTCAGCCCTTTTTTTCGTGGTGTGGACCTCAATGCATCGGTTCGGTTTACTTCTGCTGGAGGTCCCATGTCATGAGAATCTCTCCACAGTTCCTGCAATGTTTGCTACTTCTGTTCGCCACAGTATGTTCTTTTGAGTTGTGTAGCAACGCATGGCTGTTTTTTCTCGTTTGCGACGTTTGGTTGTGTTAGCTGCTGTTTGAGAAAGGGCTGCAAGATTAAATAATGTTGATAATTAAAACATATACATTATATATATATAATAGTCATATAGTAAACATTCTTATATTGTCTTATATTTTTTTACATCTAAGTACGAGTAATGAGGAGTGTAGGGTTGGATCTCTGCAAGCCCCCTTTCTGACAGGATGATGCCTTGAAAGATGAGCGAGCTCTGGTGCAGCAGGCGATGCAACGGCCGGGTGTGTGACGTGGATGACGTGGATGACGTGGATCAGATGGGTGTTGAAACCTGTTGAAACCTGTGCATTTGCAAACCGTTTGCAAACGAACGCGGCGGGAAGATGAGTTGAATTTAGGCATAAGCAAACTCAATCTCGATTCAATTATGAAGATTTGAGCACGCTTGGTTTCATTCAAGCAGTATCTCATTTTCTGGTCCCTTGGCTTCAAACATTTTTTCACCTGACAAAACGAAGAAGCAGAGACAACTCATTAAAGTATATGGCAGATGGTGACTCATGGTTTGACAACTTCTCCTTCTCTTGCAACGTAACATGCTTCGCCATGCGCCGCGGTAGCTGCGCGGGCCTTGTTGCAATCAGCGTTTGTAGCGACTTGTTTTGAAATGATCCTGCTGGTGGATGAGGGATGGAGGCAAGATCTGGGGATGGGACAAACCCTGTGATAGCATATTAAGGGGATGGATGGACAATGACATGGACATGTATATAATTGTATATATTTAAATTTAAAATCTATTTTGATGTTTAGTGAGGTACCAAGGTTTTGATCCATAGTCAACTAGTGGTGGAAGAACCGGGATCTAGTGATGGGTGAGGGGATGCATAGATTGGTGAGAGGCGCACTCTGCAAGGTCTGGGGTGCCTTACATGGCCCACACTGACTTCATGCGCTGCAAAAGCCCCAGGGTTCTGGACAGGACCCAGAGCAAGCTGTCGAGCATCGTTCATTGCAAAAGTGTCGGGTGTTTGCAATCATGCTTTTTAAAGAATCGCTTTCTTGCTGCGGTTGAAGTAAACACTAAAGAAAAAAACAATTCTTGTCATATCCTCGTGTCCAGGTTGGATGCTTTGGTGACAGTCACACTGAGGCAACAGCGTCGGGCATCGGTGTAACCTACACTGAATGGCAATGATTTGTCACCTCTTTCCTCTTTCCATGTTTCTCCACCATGGAGATCGTTGCCGAATCATTGCCATGCATTGTGTGGCAGGGCATCTATGGTGCTCCCTGGGTGGACGAGCTTCAACGACGTCTACGGAGAGAATGCGTGAACTTCCGCCGGTGACGTGGTCTGCACTGGTTGGCCAGAACAACTGCGATGATGGCTTTTGTTTGGCATGGTTTGGCATTGTTGATGCTTGTGGTCATGGTGACTATGAAAAGATGGTATGATACTCCCATGATCAAAATTTTGGGTTCTACCCCATGTCATCCCCAAACTAAATACAAACATCTATGTAACCACAGTCGGTCTGAATTTGGTACGTCGCAAGCTTGAGATGCTGTCATCAAATTTGCCAGACCTCCGCACCATGTCAGCCGGTCAGCCCAGGAATGCCTGGACCTGCAAGTCGGTGCAGCGCCGAGCGGCTCAAGCCCCCATTTTGGATGAGGTGCTACTCTACCCCACTGATCCCTACTGATCCCTACTGATAATTGATGAAGCTGAACATGAAAATGAATGGTTTAGGGCGGCTGTGGCTACGCAGGTTGTTCTGGTCATTTCTTGCACCAGTGCTCCACTACTTTTTCCGGTCTTTAAGATGATAGTATTGCGTATTGAAGACTGAGCAAGACTGCCGTGTGTGCAAGCTGCGAAACTAAGCCTTTAGCAGCTTTAGCACGTCTCTTTCCACTAGCTAGTGGAAATCATACTGGTTTTGAGGGACTCTCGGGCTTCCTCGCCAGTTTGTCAATCTCTGTCACTTGCGTTTGGCTCCTAGTCCTCCTAGTCCCTGAAAATCTCCAAAGCGGGAAGTTCTACTGACCACTCAGATTGTTGAGTCCACGTCTCCCCTTTTTCTTGGCAATAAATTCCCGGCGCCATAGTGTGACATCCCACAATGCCAGAACCAGATTTCAATTGCAGGCAGTTGTTTTGGCCGGCACCAACGACGCCATGATGGAACTTGCGGCTCGGGCTGGAAACACAGGCACACCGAGCAATTGACAGAGAGCCGAGTGAAAATGCTTCATGGTTTTGAAAACCCACCACAGAGCATGCACATAAGGAAATAGTTGTCAGATGTTGTCAGTCAGCCATTTATTTTCCGCAGTCTCATTGTTCCGTGGTCTGTCGTTTTTCTTCTTTGAGAAGGATCTGTCGTTCTCATTAGGGGCAGCACAAATTATAGAGGCATTGTGTGTTTTACAACCACTGGCGTGGGGCGAACCTGGGAGATACCTGAAGCCGGCAGAGGCATGCTCAGTGTCTACCGGGGCTTGACACTTGGTCACACAGGGCACCATCTTGCATCATATTGCACCATTAATATCACCCTGGGATTCTTTGTTTGGTCCACAGGAATCAGCTCCCAGCTGAGTACGTGCCGTCCATTGAAAGCTTTGCAACATCCTTCAAGGAGCTGCCACTGGGCTTTGGTCAACTCCATGTCAGATCACGACCTGTGTCAACCGAAGTGTAACATCAAATAGGCAGACACATGCAGACACTGAGATATACTTCCACTGACAGAGTCAACACCAAGTAAAGTGCCTTGAAATTAGATGTTATATAAACATAAGTATAAACATATACAAACATTTTTTTGTGGTTGTACTTCGTGTTTCCAACGTTGGACACACGTCTCTTTAAACCCACAAAGTTTAACCTGGAGGAGTCGGACACCGAGGTTGTCCTCTGTTCGTGCAGAGAAGGTAGCAGTCCTCAGCCTGCCACCTCTGGGAGAATCCGATGGTCGCGCAGCTGAGCTGCTGTCCCTCTACAATCAGTGACCTGGAGCAGTGGGGGCTTGGGTTTACCTTTCATTCAAGGCTTTGTCTAAAAATAAGGTACCTCAAATATCTTCAAATCTCATTGTTCAGGATTTTCCCAGTGAACATCATTGAACATCCATTTTGATCATTTTGGTGGATATATCATGATCCCGCTGTCCCCCTTTGGCAAACCCCACCTCCGTGTGCCCAGGGAGATTTGTCGCCTGGTTGAGGAGGATGAGCGTGCCATCTATGTGCCTTTTGGAGAGGCCTTAGAGAAGAGAAGTGGTGAAGGCTGCGCATGGGTTGGCCCTGAGAAGTTGGGATAGTTGTATTTTACCCTTTAATTTTGGGAATGCCAGATACCGGGAGACCCCAAAATGTGTCTGAAAATGGGGTATACTCCCCCAGTAACAATTCTGATGGGAAATGAGATTTTGGGGCAGCCTATTTCAGACAAATCCATAGGGACCGTACAAGACTATACTATAATGGTGTCGGTTGAATGACCAGTTTTTGAAGTTTTCACGAGTCGGCCAGATTTCGATGCTTCCTCCCCGGCATTCTCCCAGACTATTGCGCAGATGCCTGCGCCTCAAAACTCTCGAAGGATGTCACCCTTCCACTTTGTCAAGTGGTTGGAAGAAAACAGACATGTTTTTTTGGACGTCCAGATTTTTTTCAGGGGAGCATTGGCATAAGGCACAAGTTCATGCACAGCCTACATGTCACCCACATCAAGGTCCAAGCTGACTCTTTTTGGTGTTTGCAGTTGTTGCTTCAGAAAAAATATGACAGATTCATCGCACAGAAACACAGGACATTCTGCTATAATACAATTCTCTTGTACAATCGGAGTGACAAAACACGGTAAAGATCCCATGTTTAGTGCAAGCTAATCAATCACACCCACACGAAACCCCATGCAAATTAGGATGTTTTTGTTCAGTCGCAGGCCAAGAAAGGCAGTCTGAAGACTGCACGTGCAGATACAACCACATTTTAGCATCAACGTTCAAAAGACGCAGCCATTTACATATTTTTTTGAATTCTGCTTTTAGGAGTTTTGGTATTTGTGTTTTAAGCATCCATGGACTTCTGCTGCGGTACTCGCAAACCCGAGGTTTGCACATACGGCCTTGAGACGATTGCCTTTTGGTCCCTCTTTTGACACATTGGGCAGTTTCTATGGCAGAGAGGTGGCCTCAGCTTTCGACATTTGGGGTGTCCAAATTTGGACCTGGTCTCCCTATGCTGTCGTTGCAAAATTACCACCCTGGCTGGACAAGTGAATCTTCCCTGTGCATTGCCACTGAAATTCTGATGGTTTTATTTTGGTGATTGTTGTATAGGGTTGGCAATCTCCGTTTCTTTGTTACAGGCTGTGCACGACAAGATCCACCTTACTGAGAAACTTGGAGCTGAAATGGGGCGCGCATTTTTTTCCCCATATGTCCACTAGCACTGCATTGTCACACGCTCAATCTGAACTTAGCGTTTGCCTGGACATGGAGTCAAACTCGAGGTGGAAATACTTGTAGAAAAAATGCGAGAAAGCGATGATGCTCCCGAGCATCATTGCTTCAGACATTCCAATTTCTGGATTGCCCTGTATCGCTTTAGATGCTTTAGCAGTGCCGGTCTGAACCCGAACAACCATGTCGTATCATGTCGTCAATGGTGTGAGTTGTCAGAGTTGTCACACAGGAAAAGTGCCAGAATCCTTGTGGATCTGCTGGTCGAAGTGTTGGAACCTGAGCTCTAGGCGGGCAGGCGGGGCCTCAGGGCCTTGGGGTCAACGCCAAAGATTGCCGAACGTGACAGCTTTGTTGAGGCAATACGGTGATCAAGTGAGCCGAGTCACATGCTATCCTGTGCGGATGGCTGCGCACCAAAAAAGAGCCAGAGCTGCCACCACACCAGTCGACTTCAAATCAGATGGACAGTGACTGGGGCAGTTCCAAAAAAGATGAATGCCCTAAACCTAGTGGTATCCACCAACACTACATCAACATATTCACTGGTGCTTTTATTTCATGGTCCATTTTGGCCACGACACCAGCAGACGAACTCGCAGAGGCGCTACGTCGCAGTGGCTGGGCGTTGCGCTTTGCCAGTGAGCGGCTTAAGAAGGACCGCAGCCTTGTTTTGGAGGCGCCATGTGGGATGAGAGCCCCAAAATGCGAGGCATCCAGACTGGGAGGCTTACCATCTCCCCACTGAAATTCTCTGAGATCATTTGGGGGTTGAAATTGGGTACACCTAAAAATTGGGTGGTGCTATAATGCAAAGATACCAAAATCTGCTGTCCGGAAAATTTGAAGCACGTCACCAGGCCATCCAGAGCGAGGGAGTGGCTATTCGATTTGCTGCAGAGGTGCGGCCTCGAAGATGGGGAGTAAGGCCATTTGGCCTCCAAAAGATACAGCCAACTTGAAAAGGTCTGTGTAACTTCTCTGTGTGTAATATGTTGTGTTCAAAGCGCTCTTATATAAAAAGCCACTGTGTTGAAAACTCGTGCTGAAAATTTTCTCTTCTTGAACGCGCTGCGCTTAAACTCTCTTGTCAAATAGCGGTCGTGTTAAAAGCTTTTGACCAAAAGCCCCCCTGTGACCAAAAGCTGATGTTAAAAGCCGGCTGTGTGTTTAAAAGATCTGTGTGGATTGTGCATGGTAAAAGTTTTTGTGTAAAAAGAAGGTAATGAAGAAAACTCCTTTGTAAAACCTCTGTGCAAGGCAAAGCGTCTGTTATGGCCAGTGTTGTAAGCCAGTGACATAAAAGGGTTCTGCTAAACTCCTTTGTTGCGTGGGAAAAGTTCTGTGTGTAAAAAGATATCTGGTTAATTGAGGTGTGTTATAGGTTGTGTGTAAAAGATTGTGTGCAATGTTGTTGTTGTTAAAAGCGTCTGTTTATCTGTTCTGTTGTATTGTGGTGTGGTAAAAGCGTCTGTGTGTAAAAGTTCTGGTGTTGTTGTTGGTGGAATGTGTTTGGTGTGGTGCATTGCCTGATTGGTGGTGGTGTTCTGTGCGTCTGCGTGTAAAAGTGTTGTGTTAAAAGCGGTGTGATAAAAGTGTTTGTGTGTAAAAGGTCGTTGTGTAAGGTCTTCTGTGTGTCTTGCAACCTGTGGTAAAAAAACTGTGTGTAAAAGGTCTGTGTGTAAAAGGGAAGCCCAAAAATGTGTATGAGTGTGTTACCATGTCTTGTGACCGGTAGTCTGTGTGTAAAGCGTCTGCGTGTTAAGCGACTGTCGTAAAAGCGCCTGTTGTAAAAGTGTTTGTGTAAAAGTGTTTGTGTGTAAAAGCGTCTGTGTGTAAAAGCTTCTGTGTGTAAAAGCCCCTGCGTGTAAAAGCCCCTGCGTGTAAAAAGCGTCTGTGTGTAAAAGCGTTTGTGTGTAAAAAGCGTCTGTGTGTAAAAGTGTTTGTGTAAAAGCGTCTGTGTGTAAAAGGGTCTGTGTGTAAAAGTGTTTGTGTGTAAAAGCTTCTGTGTGTAAAAGCGCCTGCGTGTAAAAAGCGTCTGTGTGTAAAAGCGTCTGTGTGTAAAAGCGTCTGTGTTTAAAAGAGCCTGTGTGTAAAAAGCGTGTCTCCATACTAACAACAGAAGACTCTGCTCCTCTACGCTCTCGGGCCATCCGTCGTCTAGTTTCAGAGGGGTTGACACCACCAACCAGTATTATGTACATATAATATATCATATACGTGTAGATATTTTTTGTAAATATATGTGCAGTCGCAGAACTTGGACATACTTGGGCTTGAATGAACTTACACCAGCTCTATGGATCATTTATCCCTGAAATTCTTTGCTTCTGGGTCGACCAGTTTGTTGTACATTATGTACGTTATCTTCTCTTCTAGATAGCTCCCGAGTTGGTTTTCAAACCATTTAAATCCACAAAAAGGTTCATGGAAGTTAAAGTGCGGCCCCCCAAACCAATTATGGCATTATTAAGGGCTTATTTATCACCATGAATCAGTTCCCCATTGTTGAGGGGAAAAACCTTTGGGAAGTACTCTGTACCTCAAACTTGCATGAAATATACCGTGCTTGGTCTCCAGAGCTTCTACCCACGAAATCTCGAAAGGAACCTCAAGAAATCTGGAATTTCTTGGAATTCTTTTGGAATATCAACTACAGTAAATCTGCATGGTGTTTTTGTTTTATGTTTTTGGATGTGTTTTTTCATGTTTTTCAGCCATCGATGATTCAGGAGCCGGTTGCACATCACCAACGTCACTCCACCTGCCAATCGACCGCGGCTTGGCCCGAGCGAAAGGTGTTGTTTTGTTGGAAAAAATGGGATTTGACCACCAAAGACTGGGAAATCACCAGCAGACAACCTGGAATTCTAGCAACAAGTGGGAGTTTTCATGATTTTTCCTCAGTGTGAGAGATTTGCTGGTGGTTTCAAACATGTTTTTTTTCCATATGGGATGTCATCCTTCCCATTGACGATCTCATTTTTGTTCAAGATGGTTAAAACCACCAACCAGTTGTAGCCTGTCGTGCGCATGGTGTTTTCCTGATTTTTTCTTGCTCACCTTCTCAGATGAGGCCAAGGAAAATCGCCAAACGTAGCGTCCAGACCCGGAATGATGACTTTTGACAGCCCAGGCTGACTCGCAGAACTTGTATATATATATACATATACATAATAATTATATATATATATATATATTATACACAGTTATTATTATGTTTCTTCTTTACATTGTGTTATATTATATATTATATTATATTATATTATTATTACTATTATTATTATCGTTTAGTATTGTTATATTATTATTAATGTTTTTTCTTTAATATTAGTTACTGTTATTTTATGGTCAACAATGAAATGGGTTGCATTGAGAGAGATTCCACAAACAGAATTCGGAAAAGAGTGATTTGCCCTTACCTCCCTTTGAGGTAGCTTTCCTACCGGGGCATTTGCAAGACCTGCAGACAGTGTGCATGACTTGCAAGTGGGACTGCCAGCTACATAAGGTGGTCAACTCAATGATAAGCCCAAAGGTTAAACTTTATGCAAAGACTCCGAAATGGTATGTGGTCCGCCCGGTCGAAATGTTTTCTTGGGGGTGTCTACCACATTCATAGATAATTACAGTAGCCCTCATGATGGTGGTGACTTTTGCGGGCCGCGCATCGGGTGTGTCTGAAAACAGGGTATTCCCATTCCATTGGGTTCGAACTAATTGTCCCAAATATTCATTACCAATTAGGGGTAGATCCCTTTATACCTATTTTACCACACACCTAAACCATCAAAACATATCAAGTTGGTGAACCACATTCCCTGAAATATTCCATATCCAAGTTATATCCCACCAGAAACTCATCACATTTCATATCCGATAACACATACCCTATGGTTATTAAACATAGCTATGGTAAATCTACATTTCAAAAAAAAGGTAAATATATAGGTTAATCAGTTATAACTGATCCATTTTCCATAGCTATATCTAGCTATTAAATAACCATAGGGTATTTAAATCATACATTATATATATAAAACGGGCTAGCGCCCGGGTGCCGCCGACCCCTCCTTCTTTGTGACACAACGCTATTATGTTAGGTTTACTAGAGGTGGTCATGCTTAATGTGGGTCAAAGTGCCATGGGTCGTGTGCATGCAATACGCGATCGATGGTTCAAAGCAACATTGTGACACAGCACCTCTTCACATGTTTGTTTCCTTGACCACGATCCTTCCCAGTGCGTTATATTGCGTTCGAGATTGGATTTTGGTTGTCCAGTACCTTTAATTGATTAGCAATTTGAATTGAATGCATGGTTGGGTGGGCTTGTTGGTGAAAGGGACCTTGAAAGTTTTAACATGGCATCCACTCTACGAACCTTTCCTGGATTTGACATTTCGCTACGGTTTCACCATTCTATGGGATTTCCCGTTGCACAACACGTGCAAAAAATGATGGCTTTGGGAACGCTCGCAGGGGTCCCAGATGTGCTGTGACAGGAACTTATTTTGCTTCAGACCAGATACTGTACATCAAACAAATGGTTGACGCCGCAGAAGCATGCCTAAGTATGGTGTTCTTCTTGTCTTTTGATGTTGATCAGGTCAATAGGAAACTTGGCTATTATGTCCTTGTTTTTTCCTGATATCTAGTGCAGCACATCTGAAAAGAAATTTGATGCTATCAAATGACCGCAGAATTGTGGAATAGTTAGTCATTGAGACAAGGGACCAAGTTTGAAGTCAACGAGATTGGTGGGGCTGTTTAACATGGTCACAGAAGAGCGGTTGTCAATCTCTCGTCACTGCTCAGCGTCAGCCTCTGTTCAGCATGTTGGACTGGCAAACGGCAGGCTTGGACGCCCATAAGAAGACATTGATGTGTGGCCTTGGAGTGCCTGTTGGCTGCAGGATGAAGCATGCCAAGGTTCCCTTGTGTTTAAGGCCTGGCAAACGGCAGGCTTGGACCCCCCATGACGGGTTGTAAGGGTTTTAAGGGTTTTAAGCGTTTGGAGGGGTTTTAAGCGTTTAAGGGCTGGCAAACGGCAGGCTTGGACGCCCATAAGAAGACATTGATGTGTGGCCTTGGAGTGCCTGTTGGCTGCAGGATGAAGCATGCCAAGGTTCCCTTGTGTTTAAGGCCTGGCAAACGGCAGGCTTGGACCCCCCCATGACGGGTTTTTTGTAGGGTTTTTGGGTTGTAAGGGTTTTAAGGGTTTTTTTAAGCGTTTTTGGAGGGTTTTAGCGTTTAAGGGCTGGGCAAACTGCCCAGGCTTGGACGCCCTAGAAGACATTGAGTGTGGCTGAGTGCTGTTTGGCCTGAGGATGAATGGCATGCCAAGGTTCCCTTGTGTTTAAGGACTGGCAAACGGCCGTTGGACCCACCATGACGGGTGGTGTAAGGGTTTTAAGGGTTTTAAGCGTTTTTTTTGGAGGGTTTGAAGGTTTGTTAAGGGCTGGCAAACGGCAGGCTTGGACGCCCATAAGAAGACATTGATGTGTGGCCTTGGAGTGCCTGTTGGCTGCAGGATGAAGCATGCCAAGGTTCCCTTGTGTTTAAGGCCTGGCAAACGGCAGGCTTGGACCCCCCATGACGGGTTGTAAGGGTTTTAAGGGTTTTAAGCGTTTGGAGGGGTTTTAAGCGTTTAAGGGCTGGCAAACGGCAGGCTTGGACGCCCATAAGAAGACATTGATGTGTGGCCTTGGAGTGCCTGTTGGCTGCAGGATGAAGCATGCCAAGGTTCCCTTGTGTTTAAGGCCTGGCAAACGGCAGGCTTGGGACCCCCATGACGGGTTGTAGGGTTTTAAGGGTTTTAAGAGTTTGGAGGGTTTTTTAAGTGTTAATTGCTGGCAAACGGCAGGGTTGGCGCGCCATATAAGAAGACATTGATGTGTGGCCTTGGAGTGCCTGTTGGCTGCAGGATGAAGCATGCCAAGGTCCTTGTGTTTAAGGCCTGGCAAACGGCAGGCTTGGACCCCCCATGACGGGTTGTAAGGGTTTTAAGGGTTTTAAGCGTTTGGAGGGTTTTTAAGCGTTTAAGGGCTGGCAAACGGCAGGCTTGGACGCCCATAAGAAGACATTGATGTGTGGTGTGGCCTTGGGGTGCCTGTTGGCTGCAGGATGCAGCATGGCAAACGGCAGGCTTGGACCCCCCAGGACGTGGCAAAGGGCAGGCTTGGACGCCCATAAGGAGAAAGAAGACATTGATGTGTCGCCTTGCGGTGCCTGTTGGCCGCAGGATGAAGCATGCCTTGGTTCCCTTGTGCTTAAGGACTGGCAAACGGCAGGCTTGGACCCCCCATGACGGGTTGTAAGGGTTTTAAGGGTTTTAAGCGTTTGGAGGGTTTTAAGCGTTTAAGGGCTGGCAAACGGCAGGCTTGGACGCCCATAAGAAGACATTGATGTGTGGCCTTGGAGTGCCTGTTGGCTGCAGGATGAAGCATGCCAAGGTTCCCTTGTGTTTAAGGCCTGGCAAACGGCAGGCTTGGACCCCCCATGACGGGTTGTAAGGGTTTTAAGGGTTTTAAGCGTTTGGAGGGTTTTTAAGCGTTTAAGGGCTGGCAAACGGCAGGCTTGGACGCCCATAAGAAGACATTGATGTGTGGCCTTGGAGTGCCTGTTGGCTGCAGGATGAAGCATGCCAAGGTTCCCTTGTGTTTAAGGACTGGCAAACGGCAGGCTTGGACCCCCCATGACGGGTTGTAAGGGTTTTAAGGGTTTTAAGCGTTTGGAGGGTTTTTAAGCGTTTAAGGGCTGGCAAACGGCAGGCTTGGACGCCCATAAGAAGACATTGATGTGTGGCCTTGGAGTGCCTGTTGGCTGCAGGATGAAGCATGCCAAGGTTCCCTTGTGTTTAAGGCCTGGCAAACGGCAGGCTTGGACCCCCCATGACGGGTTGTAAGGGTTTTCAGGGTTTTAAGCGTTTGGAGGGTTTTTAAGCGTTTAAGGGCTGGCAAACGGCAGGCTTGGACGCCCATAAGAAGACATTGATGTGTGGCCTTGGGGTGCCTGTTGGCTGCAGGATGCAGCATGGCAAACGGCAGGCTTGGACCCCCAGGACGTGGCAAAGGGCAGGCTTGGACGCCCATAAGGAGAAAGAAGACATTGATGTGTCGCCTTGCGGTGCCTGTTGGCTGCAGGATGAAGCTTGCCAAGGGAATGTTTAAGCGATGGCTTTTAAGGGCTGGCAAGTGGCCTTGGAAAGCTAAGAAGGAGAAGTTCCACACCTGCGGTGGTCCCAGGCGCCGCCCCTGCCTTGGCCAAGGCCGGGGTCGGCGGATATACATATGATTATATGTTTAATCATATTTAAATATAAGCATATATATATATATAATCATACTATGTGTATAATCATACTATATATATATGTACATATATTATATATAATCATATAGTTTATTATATATATATACTCATATATTATATATATACAATATTGTATTATATATATATATATATATGTAGCTCCACAGTCCTCCCATTTTCCCCAGCCCCTCGATGCCAAGGCCTTGCATTCCTGGCTCTGTGTTGAAACAGCGTCAGGGAGAACAGTTGGGGCCCCAGGTGACACAGGTGACACGGTGACATGACACGTGTTTGATGGTGATCTTCTGAACATGGTCTATATAATATCTGGGTAAATTTCATCACGACCTCACTGCGACCTCACTGGAAATCATAGTTAGGATTCGGGAAATCATCCCCAAATGGGCGAACTATTCAGGTTAGTGAAATATTATAATTTGCCCAGATAATATGATAATAATAGCAATAATAATAGTAATCATAAGATTTGCAATAATAATCATAACAATAGTAATGATAACAATGATAAGAATAACAAAACCAATAATAATAATAGTAATCATATTTATATCTACACACCCTCAAATTTGCAGCAGTTGGGACACATGATGACAAACCATCAAAATTGGGTGCACCCAAGTTTGAGACGAAACTAACAACATGTTGACCCATCAGATCATGAATGAAACAAAATCAAGTTCAGTGGCTTGAAATTATGAGTGAACCGGAGAGAGAGAGCCTGAACCTGGTTGGTGGTTTCAAACAGTTTTCATTTTCCATATGGGATAATCCTTCCCATTGACGAACTCATATTTTCAAGATGGTTATTGCACCACCAACCAGGAACGTAATCATTTCTCCCATCTAAGAAATACCAAGACACCAAATGGGACACCAAGATGATGGATTTAATACTGAAACGGATGGATTCTGAAGGAATGGAAACATTATATAGGAATTAGTTGAGATAACATGGAGCAAAAATGGGATGGAAGTGCCGGTGCACGTTGAAAATTGCTACCAATGACTGGATATGGTAATTGTAATTGTCCCAACACATGAGCAAGAAGTCACTTTCAGCTCATTAACGAACTGCCACTGATGAGTTGTGTGTCACATTTTAAATCCAAGACTAAGAAAAAACATATAATATACCCTCTGGTTATTTAACATAGCCGTGGAAAATGGCCCATTTGTAGATGTGTTTCCCATTAAAACCTCCATTTATAAGGGATTTTCCATAGCTATGTTAGTCATAACCAGATGGTACCTCAAAGGAAAACTTTGCTCAAAACAATAGTGTATGCAAAGAAAATGCAATAAAGTAAATCATTGCGCTAGTCCTTAGTCATCTCTACATAGTGTATATATATATATATATATCACATTGTATACATATTGAATTTGATGACATGATCGCACATACTTTCATCCACACTCTTAGGTGGCTTGACGAAATCATGGTTGCCTCTACTTCGTCTCCAAGCAGCTTGCGGGGGATATGCAAGAGTCAGCCGGCGTCAAAGTATGGAGATTTGATACAGCCTGATTTGATCGGCAAAGATCGCAGAAAAGCTTTGGTGAGAAATTATGAAGAAAGAAGGCCAAAACGGAAGCGAGAGTACAGGCCAGCCGAGAAGAAGACAAGGAAGGTGGAAACAAAGAAAACAAAAGGAAAGGGAGACAGTGGAGTCAAGACAGATGCAGCAAAGAAAACTGGTGCAAAGCAAAAGAAACCAAGCGTCGTAAAGAAGAACAAGAAGCAGGTTTCTGTAGCCGAGCCACCAAGTTTTGCCGCACCACTTCATCATCAAGAAGGTGAGCGTGCTGAGAAGTCAGATCAAGAACATGCCGAGCCACCGGCTGAACAGTGTTGGCTGGACGATTGGGAAATTTAGGGATCGAAGTTCTCTTGTTGGCCCTGAAATGGATATCTCCTTGATTCTTGTTGTCAGGTCGCTGGAAGAACTAGGTATGGTTCACTTCCTGGTGCTTAGTAGGGAATGAGGGAATTATCCATATAGTAACATATAGTAACTATTGACAATAATCCCATTCCCCCATTGCCATCCATTCCCTACTTCAAATCTCTATCACAAACATGCGACATGTTTGGTGAAATCCCTGCTGTTCAGATATTGTTGATTGAGCTGAATTCTCGCAATGGAGTGTCACAATCCCTGTTCAACAAGGTATATGATTCTATGATACCATCAACGAATGGGGGTGTTGGCCGGTGCTATCGCTCAGTTGTGGGTATTCGGTAAAGAGGCGCTCCAAAACCAACAATTTGAACATGTGTTTTTTTCTTCTCCTCACGAAGTGTACAGAATACACCTGAATTTTCCACTCCAGATTGAACATGACTGGCTGGTGGTTTGGAACATTTTTATGTTTCCATAGATTGGGAATAATCATTTCAACTGACTAATATGTTGTATTTCCCATTTCATATATGGGATGTCATCCTTCCCATTGACGAAGTCCATCATTTTTCAGAGGGGTAGGGCTCAACCATGGTATACCACCAACCAGTTCTCAACCAGATTATTATTAATCATCATTAACCATAGGTATAACCATATATATATAATAACCATATAATAACCATATATTAACCATTGTTAACAGTATATTAACCATTATTATGGTAGGTATACCACCAACCAGAGATTCTCTGTGAACCAGAAGACATTCGTTGTCATGGCTATCCCATGGGATCCCAATGGTCCCAGCCCTAGGGCGGAAGACGAGGCGCTGCGGCTCGTAGCTAGAAATTGAGGATGTCAAAAAGGCATGTTTCTTATTGTATTTCATTGATGTTTAATATGTGAATGAATAATGTTAATGAATGTTATTGATGTTTATTGTACTTATTCTTCACATCTTACAGATCACTTACAGGTCAAACAATTGGATTGATTGTAAGATGTTGTAAGATGTCGTAAGAATCCGATTGTTTGGTCAAACGGGATGAAGCAACTCTGTGTTGAGGCACCAACTCTGTATCCTGGTGGGTTGATGCCTATCTTCCGGAGGGTTTCGAATCATTAAGCTCCCATAATCGCCCATACACCTAGACATTCACCTAGACATTTACCTTTGCTATCAATTGTGTTTTTTGAAGTGCCGGATGTTGGGATATCTTGGGCATTCAAACATGTTTCTCCATGTTTACATCGTGAGTTCGTGGCGGCTTCGGTGTATTTTTTTTTTCGGATACTGATAGCTTTATGCTGGCCAGTCTGCCCTGCGTGAGGGGAAAGAACCTTTGGAACGAGAGCGAATGGAGGCGCGGTCCCGATTCCGAGATGACATGTCTTGAGAATCGGCTGTAAGGTCTGGGTGTATACCTAGGCTACCTAGATACCAATGGGGGTTGCAGTCGGATTTCAACGAGATATCATTCATAGTCTACTAGGTACTAGGGTTAAGTCCTTGCATCGTGTGTTAAGTCGTAGCGGATGAGCGTCTGCCTTGCGGAAAGGCATATTGGGGAGCATCATAGTATAACATATTGGATAAGCTATGTATGTTGTTTCTATGCTTAGATGTGTGTCAGCCATGCGTTGTTTTTTTCCGGCAACATATATGTTTGTGAGGAGTGGTAAGCTTCAAATATGATAGAATAGCATGAAATAGTATATAAAGTGATGTATTCTGGTGTATCACGTTTAAACATTTTGGGTTAGTCATGTATGTTGTCTTTGCTCTTGGATGAGTGTGTGCCATGCGGTGCTCTTTTTTTTCGATGTTCTTTGTCTATCAGCATTGGCCAGGATTTAAACATGAAAGGGTAGTATACACTATGTAAACTGATATATTTCATGGTATCATTTTATCACCATTTGGGTTAGTTCTGTATTTGTTTTTTTGTTTTTGGATGAGCGTATTCCACGTGCTCTTTGCTCATGGAGGTCAGAGGGTCATGTCGTGTCGCGGGCGGTGGTGTGGTCTGTCCTGGGTAGTTTTTGACTTCGTTTGGTACCTCGTTCGGACCTCGTTCTGACCTCGTTCGTGACCAGCCTTTGTTCCCCACCTGCCAGGTGAGGGTTGTTAGATTTTATCAGAGCTGTTCTCCTCCTCCTCCTCCTCTGCCTCCTCCGCCTCCTCCGCCTCCTCTGCCTTCTCCGCCTCCTCACCCGCCGCCTCCTCCTCGCAGTCCAGATCCCAGTGGGCACAGCCGGACCTCCACCGCGAGCTCCAGATCCCAGTGGGCACTGCCGGACCTCAACCGCGAGTTGCAGATCGCAGTGGGCACTGCCGGACCTCAACCGCGACTTCCAGGTCGCAGTGGGCACTGCCGGACCTCAACCGCGACTTCCAGATCGCAGTGGGCACTGCCGGACCTCAACCGCGACTTCCAGATCGCAGTGGGCACTGCTTCAGTGCATCCTTTCATTGCGTTTGCATGGTAAAGTGTTCAGGAGATACAGCTACTTGACATGCAAAACAGATCTAAAACTGCTTGTAAACACATCCTAGCTGCGAAAACCAACTGTAATCTGACCATGGTTCCTGCGCTCGCGTTTCCATGGTGTTTGGCATCGCAGTTGCCGTTCCTAGACATCTTCAAATCATGTCTGTGACATTGGGTTTTCACTTATGAACTGCACCCAACATATCCATCGTCAACGCGCGTTTCCATCGTAACTTGTACACAAAACATATGTGCAAAACATGCCCTGGACATATACCTTTCACCGTCAGGCCATGCTAAACAGAACAACAAGGATCCTAAAACCCATTGCATTCCGTACGCTTTTCCATGGTGAAACCATGAAAATGCTATGACTTAAACGGAGCTGCTATGACTTAAAACGTTCGCAGCGTTTCCATGCGAAAACAAGCCCCCTGCAATGACTTAAAACGAAATGCTATGACTTAACCCTTCCACTAGTAGCTATGTCTAGCTCATAGTTTCAACCTTGATACGTATTTTCCATCTCTTGTTAAGGTGGAATTATCAAACGCAATCGGCTGAATCGAGGTGCTGCGGCAGTCCTTTTTTCAATTGCACTTGAAGTCCCATCTTTCGTAAATAAACAGCAGACAGATATTCAAACAATGCAGCCATGCACGGACATATATATATATATTATTATATTATTATTATATAATGTCCATGTAGAAATTATTGATATGATGTGATACTATAGATTAATTATATTATGGGTCAAAACAATGGTAGCCTGTTTTTGCATCAAAATAGTTTGTAATGGATTTGACCCATCATGACCCATCCCTATATGGGTAAGATCAGTCATGGATTTTTCAGATCCCCCTGGCCGCACTGTTGCCTCGGCAGGAGTTGGGTGGTGCTGGTGTCTACTCCGTGGATTTGTGGCGCAAGGCCATTTTAGAGGCGCGGCAGCCCAGGTTTTCGGATTCCGGATGTGCGATTTGATTCCTGATTGCTGGGCATAGAAAAGATCATTCAATCCTTCTTCTCTCCAATCCTTCTCCCTTTGCCAAAACATGTGCAGGTTTCCTGAAAGAGGGTTGCCCCATTTATCATCCATTTATACTAGGATTTTCCCATGACTATGGAAACCCCATTTAATTTTATATAAACCATCCATTTTGGATACCCCCATGTGGGTTTATTATCCAGTTATAGATGGAATTTTCCATGTTTTCCATGTCAACCATCCAGCGTGGGGTACCATGACTCGTTGGAAACTCCCATGGTCCTACGATCCCATGATCGATCCGCGATCCGCGTGGGGCCCCACGCAGTTTTTATGGCTACCCCCATGACGTATTCGTATATGGAATATATCCCACCGGATATTATATATATATATATATTAATCTACGTGTATATGTATTTTATATATATATATATACATAGATATATATAGAATATATATATATTATATTATATATATTATATTATATATCATATATTGTTATATATGGGATGAAATTTCTACATTTATCAGCCACTTGATCTGAGATGTCCAGGATCCCAACTGGAAGTACGATATCGTGCCAGAGATTATGGACGGGCACAACATTGTGGACTTTGTGGACCCAGCACCTTGGTGGGAGAGGAGTTGGGTGCCCACCGGGGCACCCAGGCTTTTAATATGTGTTACCCTCTGGTAAATTAACTATGGAAAATCAACTATTAATTGGAACCTGGGAAAATCAACTATTATCCCAGGCTTTTCATTGGTAAATTAACATAACTATGGAAAATCACAATTTTGTAAATCAACTATAATTAAATGGCCATGTTCAATAGCTATGTTAGTTTACCAGAGGGTACCTATGGGAAATCACCGAATCTTTTTTTGAAACAAGTAAATCAATGAAGTCAATGTGCCATTTTCAATAGCTATGTTAAATTAGAGGGTAATATTGCGTTCATTTGTTTTACTGGTTTTGACTGCCAGATCTTTCTGATAGAAACAGGTTGAAGTGATAACGATATTGTTTCACTCTGTGGTGGTGAAACCACTAGGCAGAATGGAGTTGCGGGCCATGTTGCGCCATTTTTTGCGGTGATGCATAGAGCGGATGTTGTGCATGGTGATACATGGCATGGTGGCTATAGTTCACTGACATGAAAAACGGTTCGCCCACCAACGAAAAGGTGATACAAAATGATTCACGCCATACATTTTGATCATGTTGCATTTGTGGCTAAAAGCCATGGATACTTTAAGTCATGTGGGGGAACATGCTTATGATCTAGTTTCAACTTGGTGCAAGATCCACCACGACACCGCGACTCCACCTCGAGGAATCCGACCTGGATCAGCCTGGAATCATGGTTAGGATTCGGGGAATAATCCCAAAATCTATGGATACAGAGGTAATTCCCAGATCTATGGATACATAGATTACTGAATTTTATTATCACAATCCAACATTACAGGTTAGTGAATTGTTATAATTTACCCAGCTCTATGGATACAGAGGTAATCATGTCCAGCGGATTGTGTGCCACTGATGCATGGCTGTCAAGTGGATCATAGACTTTTATACTCTTATATGACCATTTAGGACCTGACATGACCCTTTCACTGGAAATCTCACGTGGAGTTCACCCATCTTACATCTTACCATCCGTTCGGGTACCATGTGATAACGGAGTGCCATTATGTGTCTCCTCATTGTACCCGAAAGGTCCCTGAAATTCCCATACGATATCATACGATTCAAACATCATTTATATATATATACACACAAATACATACTTATATAATAATGCCAACACCGGATTAATACCCCCCCCCACCAGGTAGGTAGGTAGGTACCTTCTGGCTAGTTTTCTTGACAACCCCTAAATAAACGCACCCCGAACCATAAAATTCTGAACCATAAAACTTTGGATATGGCTTACGTCAATTAGATCTTAGTAGAATTCCATTGGATTTGTTAAAATCTCATGGATCAGAAAGGGGGTTGATTAATCAGGGGCAAACCGTGGTTATTATTAATGGGGGACATGGGCTCATGGGGGGTACCCTTTGGGAGCTATCCAAACTGATGATTTTCATAAAGATTTTAATTAGAAATCGATCATTTGGGGAATAGTTGTTTTTTGAAATTTTCAATGACCAACTTAAACCTTAAGTATAACAATGATGATGAAACAAAAAGTAAAAAATAATTGGAAATAAAAGGAATTGGAAACAAAAATTGCTGGATAAAAAATGGATTTCAGAATTGGTGGTTGATTAATCGGGGGTAGGCCAAAAAAAATATTAAGCATGGGGGACCACCTGTTTTTTAATTACATGTTTTTTTGGCAGTTGCTGTTGGTTAATCGGGGGGCATTATTAATCCTCACTTGGCATTAATCATATATATATATATACACACACTTATATAATAATCATATATATACACTTATATAATAATCATATATATATATATTTACACTTATATAATAATCATATATATATATTTACACTTATATATTAATCATATATATATACACTTATATAATAATCATATATTAACACACTTATACAATAATCATATATATTTACACTTATATAATAATCATATATTAACACACTTATATAATAATCATTTATATATATATATATATATATATGCATAGACTTATATAATCATATATGTATATATACACACTGATATGATTATCAGAGAGGGAAGCAAACTTTTTGTGGTTCATGGTGGTCCCAAGTTGACCATTCTATGGCTCTTCTGTGAACTGTGTTTCCGTTGGGATCATATAACTATAGATCTATGATCACTATTATCCAACATCGATTTATATCTTGGGCATCTTGGGTACTTTTATATACTACTGTAAATATACTGTAGTCCATTATCACAATTGATCTATTATCACTATTATGTTAAATAGACCTCATATATATATATACACACATACATACATACATATATATATATATAATCTAGTATAGTATGAACATACTATGGCTGTTATTCTCAACATGACATATGGCTCTTGGGGCCTACCGCAAGCCGCAAAAATGGGGGGATGTGCCGAGGACATCGACCGAAAGCTGGAAGAACTGGAAAGAGAAGAGGTGACCGTCACCGGGGGTTACCCTCTGGTAAACTAACATAACTATGGAAAATCACCATTTTCAATGGGAAAACTCACTATAAATGGCCATTTTCAATAGCAAACTGTTAGTTTTCCAGAGGGTAATGATGAAAATATGGTGATGTTATCCATGGATATCCATCCCTATGGATCCAGCTGTACCTTCTTAGGAAGTCTGACTGGGGTATGATTTGGGGTAGCTGTACCTTCTCAGGAGGTGTTTGGATCTATAGGGCATAGGGATTTTATTGAAAAATAAGGGAGTTTCTTGATGTTTATGAAAGTGAATGGGAGCATATATCAACTGACTGAGCTCGAGGGATTTCCGGCGCTTATTGATGTTAGTTTAGAAAAAGATATCTATCAAAAAAAATGAATCCACCATGTTTTTTTTTGGAATCCATAGAAATCTATGGGTCTTCTCTTTTTTTTGAGAGTGCTGGAAGCAAATCCAGTCCATAGGCTTTGCAAGGCTTTGCTATGCTTTGCTGGATCCAGTGGAAGTCCCATGAATCGCAAGTGATTGGGAGACGGTGTGCTAATGTTTTTCGGTAGCTGAAGTGACTTAAGAACTTTTCAGTAGCTGGTGGTGCCGCCCAGTTTATGAGCTGGTTTATGACCTATAAACCCCCACCATAGATCTACCAGAAAACCCAGTGATTGGACAGTGATTGGAGTTATGAACCAACTTAGCTAACGGCCTCAAGCACCACCTCGCACCAAGCTAGTGCGAAGTTCAGTTCCAAGAACGGTGTTTGCATAACCTTCTGATTTATTTTTGCATTTATATATACAGTAGATTGTAGATGAACGTATTCATACCCATATTGTATTACATATCAATCTATGTGGATGTATATATATATATACATCCACGATTACGTATAATACAATATCATGATATAACTATGTTAATTTTCCCAGATTTTTTCAATAGATTCCCATGTCCAATACAGATGTATATGATGAGATATGATGTATGTACACAAATATAATCAAATATCATTTATCCGATACATCTCCAATAATCCAAGATATGTTCAATAATGTTTGATAATGTTCAACATAAGTCCCAAAAGTGTCCAATAAATATAGATCCAAGATCTTGTCAATATGTGTCCAATTGCAATACATACATCAATCTATTATTTTTCGACAACATGTCCAAGAGTAGGATCGGTTGACTTTCAAAAATCACAGCAAAACCATGTATTTTTTAGGTCAAACAGTAGGTTTTCCATGGTTTTCCCATAGAAATTATGAACCAATTCCCAAAAGAACCAGTTTTCGGTGAACTTCCGCCGGGCGTGAGGCCCTGTTAATGGCCGAATCCAGCCTGGGCAATGACGACGAGGCACATACTTTTCTATGTTGTTGATTCTTTTGGGTGGTCAGTTTTAATATAGAGATTGTAAATGGATATAGGTGACCGTCCAGTAAAAAAAAGGTTCAAGAGTCAGGAGGGCAATAGAAGACAATCATCGTCACACAAATTATTGTTTGAGAATTACAGGAAGATACAGGGGATTTCACCTGACATGGATAGATCATGAGCTAGTGTCCCTTTCAAAACCATGTGTAGAAGCAAGCCTCTTTTCTTTGGGGCTGGGAGCAGCCTTGAAGATGAATTATATATATATATAATTATATAAATATATATAAGTTTCATGGCTTCATGTCAAGATCGGACATGAGTGAGGTACACAGAAACAAATACAAACCATTGTGTGACCCTTTTGAATTATATATATAATTCTCAAATGGATGTATGATATAATAGTAGGACCGACATAAGCCATGTTTTGAACACGCACAAATCAGCAGTCTGGAGTTGGGCGGATGAATCTAGCCCAAACACGGTCCCCATAAAGAGGACAGTTTTTCAAACCTGAGGGATGAACAGAAATCCAGCAATAATCGCTAGTATTTGTCACAATAGCCTAAGTTGTTGAGTGTATATATATATATATGATTTATTCTATGTGATATATTATTTATAATATATATACTATACATATTATTTTATTATATATAAATAAATACCATATGATATATATATATATATATATTATATTGTATATAAATATTATTTCATGTATATTGTAGTGTATAATATATATATCTTATATTTTACATTAAAATAAATATATTTAAATTAACTATATATATATATTATATTATTATATAATATAATATTATGTATATTTTATATAATATATTTCATACATTATATGTATATATATAGATAATATTTGTATATATATATTATATATGTATATGCTATACATGTATATATTGTGTATGTATATATTATATATGTATATATTATATGATTTAGTATATAATATTATATTATATTACTTGTTGATTATTATTGTTTTATTCTTAATATATTATAATAATAGTTATTATATTATATTATATAGTATATTTTTTAATGTATCATATTTTATTGTATTATATTATAGTATATTTAGTTTTATTATATCATCTGTGTTATTATTATATATGTTATTATATGTTATCTTACTTTTTATATATATACATTATATAGTATACATATACATATATATTATAGTATATATATACATTATATAATATATATGTACTATATTATATTATATTATTTTATTTTAAATTTTATCATATTGTTTTTGATTTTTAATTATTTTATATGATATTTTATTATATCATATTATAGGGTATGTTATGGTATATTATATCATATTATATTACATTATATTATATTATATATATTATATTTTTGTTGTTTATATTATATCTATATATTATGTATAGATTATCTTATTATTATATATATAAGACTATTTATATATATATTCAGTATATATACATTTTTTATATTATATTATATTATCTTATATTATATTATTATATTATATTATATTCTATTATATTATATTCTATTATATTATATTTTATTATATTATATTATACTATATATATTATATTTATATTTTATTTATGGTATACCTTATATCTACATCTATATATGTATATATTATATATAATCATATATTTTATATATACTATATTATTTATTACGTATATATATATATATACATATATATATACTCTCCGGGGATCAACCATGTCAACTGGCATTCCCCCAGAAATGAACGTTCTAATGGCAAAATCATCGAAGGAAATGTGGGGCATTTTCCAGGCCACGTTTCATGCGCAGCAGGTGATTGGTGAGTTCGAAAAGACCCAAAAGGTCTTGGATGAAGTCCACAGCAGGCCTTTCTTGGTTGGATTTACCCTCTGGCAATTCAACATAGCTATTGAAAATGGTGATTTATAGTGGATTTTCCCATTAAAAATTGTGATTTTCCATAGTTATGTTAGTTTACCAGAGGGTACCATCGTTTACCCAAGGATGATGGGGATTGTACCAAGACAAAATGGTGGAAAATTGCCGGGACTTCATAGGATCTTTTGTGGGATTTAACGACAATTTACATCGGTTTCGCTGCTGAAAATAAACTGGAGCACAGGCTTGGGATAATACTGGAGCAATCCATCCTGACATGTGAGACGTAGTATGCAAGGAGCTAAAATCTCGTTATGCGAAGTATTCAAATATTGTTGTGCGAAGTCAGAAGTAGCACAGACTGCACATGCCACGAAATCTGACTGTCTGACTATTATCCGCAGATGAATTTGCAAGAATTGATAACTATAAAGAAGTAACTGTTGGCAGGGATGGAGTTGTGTGACATGACTTTTACGCACTTTGTACTGGTTACTGTACTGTCGGTTCGTAGGATCTCTGCTCGGGATTCCTAGTGAAAATTGAAGAAACACGCCGCTGTGGGCAGTCCGAGGACGACTGCCCAGTGTGCTTGTGGCTGCCAGACAGATGAAAATGGGTATGGATGGGTTCTGGGCACATTTGCCTTTGCATCTTTGCGCATGTTTATACTATCTTGTTGGCCATCAGGTCGTTGTGACTGGAAGGGGGTGGGCAAAGATGCCTGCAAGTCTTGAACTCAGCAGTCTTTGCATGAAACTTGTCTGCTAGCAGTTCACAAAGCTTTGGCGGAGAAACTGTGGGAAGATTATCGAGATGAACGTGGCGTTTGGAAATTACTGAACTGGCGGAACTTGATGCCTAGATGATTCTGCCGTGCGGGCTGCACATCCTGAAGACCAAGCTTAATGGGGATTTGATGATGATTTAATGGTAATTATTAATTGGGAATCAATGGGGATTTAATGGGGTTGAGGTCGCATTTTTTTTGCGGTAGAATTTTAAGACCATCATTTTGTCCTCAGATGTGGCGGAACGGGGGTTTACAAAGGCACGATGTTGTCCTATCCCACATGGGAACAAAACCGTACATATATCGGTCATGCTGAAAAAGAGATGCCAAGAATGATATCAAGTGTTCTTGACATCTACCACTTGTCAGGTTGGTGGTTTGGAACATGTTTTTTCCATTCAGTTGGGAATGTCATCATCCCAACTGACGAACTCATATTTTTTCAGAGGGCTCGGTCAACCACCAACCAGATTATTATTAAAACCATCATTAACCATATAATAACCATATATTAACCATTATTAACCGTATATTAACCACGTGTTCTTGTTCACAGATTCTCATGTTTTGATCAAATCCCCACTGTTGATGAAGTCCTCATGTGGCTGTCAAGGAGAGTCGTCCATGTGTTTCTCTTGCAATTGGCACAACCGGATGTGCATCGCAAATTGTTGGTGGGTTCGAACCATGCCAAATCACCCGCCGTGGTGAATCCTAGCCAATGTTGGGGGGCAAATTGGTTATTTACCCTCTGGTAAACTCACATAACTGTGGAAAATCAATGAAAATCACGCTTTTTTAGTGGGTAAATCAACTATAAATGGGCCATGTTCAATAGCTATGTTAAATTACCAGAGCCCAAGCGTATCTGGCTTTGCCAGAGAGCAGCTTTGTATTTGTTGGGGGGCCCTTCCTGCAGTCAATAAATCATCCAATGTAATATATATATATATCCCATCAATTCATGGATCATGTCCCGAAAAAATTATACCCCAGTTATATGTTTCAATTCATAGATCGTTCAATAAATGCACTTGTAAGTTGGTGTTACTTTATAGCTGGTGTTATCTAACATGTGTTTCTTAAAAAAACAATTACTTTACCTCGTGTGATCCCCACCATAACATTTATACATTTTGTTACTGGCAAATCTTCTGGCATTCTATCATATTCTATCTGACATTTTATCTGGCATTCTATCTGGCATACCTTCTGGCATTCTATCTGGCATATCTTCTGGCATTCTACCTGGCATATCTTCTGGCATATCTTCTGGCATTCTATCTGGCATTCTATCTGGCATATCTTCTGGCATATTATTTGGCAAATCTTCTGGCATTCTATCTGGCAAACATTCTGGCACTTTATCTGGCATACCATCTGGCATTCTATCTGGCATTCTATCTGGCATATCTTCTGGCATTCTACCTGGCATATCTTCTGGCATATGTTCTGGCATATCTTCCGGCATTCTATCTGGCATTCTATCTGGCATATCTTCTGGCATATTATTTGGCCAATCTTCTGGCATTCTATCTGGCAAACATTCTGGCACTTTATCTGGCATATCTTCTGGCATTCTATTTGACATTTTATCTGGCATTCTGTCTGGCATACCTTCTGGCATTCTATCTGGCATATCTTCTGGCATTCTATCTGGCATATCTTCTGTCATTCTATCTGGCCGTTGAGGTCCAGCGGTGCACACTGAGCTGGGAAGGTCCCAGGTTGAGGTCCAGCGGTGCACACTGAGCTGGGAAGGTCCCAGGTTGAGGTCCAGCGGTGCACACTGAGCTGGGAAGGTCCCAGGTTGAGGTCCAGCGTGGCACACTGAGCTGGAACGGTCCCAGGTTGAGGTCCAGCGTGGCACACTGAGCTGGAACGGTCCCAGGTTGAGGTCCAGCGGTGCACACTGAGCTGGGAAGTTGGCAAAGAGCTTGGCGCAGAGAGTCGGCGAAGAGAGTTGGCAAAGAGCTGGGCGAAGAGTTGGCAAGGCGGAAGTGCAGGTGGAAGTTGATGCAGACATGGTCGAGGAGAAACTGGAGGAGGAGGCAAGGAGGAGGACGAGGAGGAAGAGGACTGCTAGTCGAGGAGGAGGAGGAGGACGAGGAGGAGGACGAGGACGCGGAGGAAGAGCGCTCTGATAAAATCTAACAACCCTCACCTGGCAGGTGGGGAATGATTTAACACTAATTTGACACTAACAACAATGGTTGACAATGATTGCTGTAAATGAACCATCGAGCCGTCGAACGTTGATTATTTCATGGAGATATTAACAGCAGTGTAGAGTGGATAATTTTTCACAACATTACCATACCACATAGTGGGATACAATGCTTCGTTTCTCCACTACCTTAAAAAATGGTGTTCATCAGTGTTCATCACTAATTGTCCCACTTACATGCATTTCTCCCATTCTTAATCATTGTTAATCATGAATTGTTCCATTTATCCCATTGTGAATATCATTTATCCACTATTTCTATAGAGAATTATATATGTATATATTATACATATCTCCATTACCTCTACATATATTACCATAATATTCCCATTATCACATTCTGGTGAAATATATCCCATGACTTAACTGGGTAATATGATGAGTAATATATGATTCCCCATTACCATTTACTCATCATTACATAATGATATGACCTAATAATATATGATTCCCAGAATATACTCATCATACATGAGGTAATAGTTGAATAAACATTATTAATCAACCCATATTCCCATGGCAACACCGGTGATTATGGGTTTTGATTAATATTAATACTCATTATTTTGGGAATATGGGAATAGTTTTATTACACCATTCCATTACATTAATACCATGGAATAACATAATCATTGTATTTTATATTTATTTTTGTTGGGTAATGGGATTTTTTGTTGATGATTTATACTCATCATATTACCACACCAAAAATCTGGTGAGATCACCATGGTTCCAAGCCGCCACAGGATGCGGCAAAAACGCCTGGAGCGACGCATCGGCAAGTCCAGGACGCCGAAAAATGCCGACCGAGTGATGGTGATGGGTACTGGGCAGTGATAGCCTCATTGGATCCACGGATTAATTCGCGAAAAAAATCCTGGTTTGAAGTTAAACCACTATCATTTATCATCAATCTTTATCTCATGATACTCAATAATGATCTATAATTTCTGGATGATCTGGAAAACAAAATCATGTTTTTTTGGAACACAATTTGCTTCTTGTACCCTCTGGTAGACTCGCCATAACAATGGAAAACCACCATTTTTGAGTTCGGCAAATCAACGAACTCAATGGGCCATGTTCAATAGCTACAGGGTAATCACTGCTTTTAATATGAATGGTGATGGCATGATAGTGATAATCATCATTAACAATCATAAAAGTGATGATGGCATGATTAATAGTGACTAATTATATGGTTAAATAACTGATTCATACTGGTGATGGTGAATATTGTAATGGCTAATGGGATGACATATAGATGACGTATCATTAATAAGATTTATCAATAATAATGTTATCATGACTATAGATGATATAGATGATTATAAATGATGGTTTTTATATTTATGTATATTTACATAAATCTGCTTGAAGGACTATGACCCATATAGTTAGTAACGGGAAAATACCCAAAAAGAAGATACTGTACATCTATATAAATGTGATATTTCTTTATGGCACCTCCCAATGCTTGAGGTTTATCAATACACCATTTCTGAAGAAAATTGCATGTTAACGATTTGAGCGATTCCCAGTTAACATGTGTCGGCGCCGTTGCTTCAACTCATGATGGGTAAATGATAGCCATGTTTGGTCATGTTTGTTCATTTTACCTCTTTTTGTTTACCCAAAAAAAACAGGTACGTACCTCCGGTGTAGCGAGGGAGCAGCTCTTTACAGCTGGTATCCAAAACATTCGATAAGTGGATGTTGATGTTTTGATGGAAAATGGGTCACTCAAAAAGACCCTGTCCAGAGAGAAATCAACTAGATGGGTTACAGTGGAAGCAGTGCAGACGGAAAAAAAGGGGTCAGTTGGATGCATTGCCACCAGCCGTTACCCCGCTTCCACGGTTGCCCCACTCACTTTGTTCAATCAACTTATGGTTGGCAGCGACATTTTTTTGGTCAGAATCACACAGGGCCAACTGAGGCGGTCCCCCGATTGGCGACTGGCTCACCAGCTACTGAGCCTTAGCCTCACATGGCAAGTGAGACTGCTGCAAAACCCTTGCAGGGAGAACAGCTCATAAAAGCAGCAAGGGATGCAGAAAAACAAAAGATGGGAGGACAGAAAGAGAAAGCTTAAGATTATGCAACAGGATCTGGAACACGAAAGACTCCTATCCTTTAAAACTATTCATATTTCAAATATCTTCAACTCAGAAATGGTAGCCTTCATGTAAATATTTGATGAACTGAACTGGTGAAGTCAAAGGTTTAAAGTTGACATTGTTTCAAGATGTTGATATCATACCCACTGGTTATTTAACATAGCCATGGAAAATGACCCATTTATAGATGGTTTACCTATTAAAAATGCTCATTTTCCATGGCTATGTTAAATAACCAGATGGTAAATTTCATCACCTCCAGTTTTTGGCACGTCTTGGCACGCAGTTTTCGAATCTTTCGCGGCAGGACGGGTGTACCAACTCCCAGACGAGCCAGAAAGAAGGCTGAGGAGGCTCCGACAAAACGCGCGGCTGTGATCCAACAAACGGTGGATTTCAAGATATGTCAACAGAAAATTTGGGTCATGGGTTGTATGAAAAGCATGAAACAGTGAATAAACCCATAAGTCCATTAGAACCCATAAACCCATTATCCCAGAAGATTTATGCATCCGAATCAAGCATGAAACTTTGTGTATTGGTCAAGTCATTGGGTTTCCTACGTGACCCACCTTTTTTTTGGTGCCTTCATGTTGACCCCATTTAAGTTGGCGTTCAAAGACATACTCCAAATGGGCAGGAGCGAAAAAACATCACATGGGTTTTTGTTCAACACGGGGATACCTATAACATGACACGTTCAATGTGTTTCCATTGGAAAAATGATAATCCATGGGATTCTGTGGTACCTCAGTTTAGGACACACCCACATGAGATCAGCCTCTATGGACCAATGAAGTAGCTGCAGGTCAGTCCCCTAGACGTGTGTTGACCAATGTGGTAGATGAACATCCCAACATATCCCAACGCTATTTGACGCGATAATGACACCAAAGGAATACATGTTCTGTATATATATTACATATATATATATATGTACAATTATATGTATATATGTATATATACATATTATATGTATTACATATATATATATGTTTACATACAAACATACAGTCATGTTTTTTGTGTATATATATATATACATACATATGTATATGGCAACAGGCACCTCTATCTCTAGTTCATATATCTAATCTAGAATATGTTATATAAAACAATTTTGAAACCATGTCATATTTGATGTATCTAAAAATGAATCATGACAAAGTCAGACAACCATATCAAATATGTCAAATTATTCAATATTTCGAATATTTTCAAATACTATTAACGATATCAACTATTGTAATTCAATATTCCAAACATTGCAATTCATTATTTCAATTATTTCAACGATGGCAAATATATCAAACATAATTATTTCATATACTTTGATTATATCACATATTTTAAACACTCGAAACATTTCAAATCGGCGGGTGGTAGAGTCAGTGTCTGCTAGGTGGCGTAAGGCTTTGGTTGCTCATGTGAAGAAAAAACACGGTGATGGCAACTGATGGCCCGGTGATGGCAAGAAATGGAGCCAGTGGGAAGTTGAGGTGACTTGATTCTGGCAAGAATGAGAGTTGAATCAACACACATCATTCGCAAAAGGGAAGCGGCGCTCAGGCCCAGCAGTGACTGCAGTGAGCCCTGGAGTCATCACTGACGAAGCACAAGAGGCCCAGGACGCCAATTGTGACACAGCGCCATGTGGCGTCATGTTTTGCCCAAGGACCAAAGGCTCATAGAGATGTCAAGAAGCTGCCTGCCAGCGAAAAGAACATGTTTGGGCAAAGGGAGGTTACCCAGCTCGTTGACAACGTGTGGCGGCGGTTGAAACTTTTGGGGCCAAGAGCACAAAAGCAGTGCTGCTTGTGTGGCGTTCGGCTAGTCACATCAAGCAAGAGATTCCTCAGATGATTAGATATGATTAGTAGGCAGCCGGTTGGGACATTACATGTACTCAACGTAGATAGTGAGATGTTTTACCTAGCCGTAGATCCATGTAGATCCTGGATATCTGTATCATTAAGAACACTTATATATTCCTTTGGTTTGGTATCTGTTCGGTCCTTTGGACACGTTAGTTTTTTTAGCGATGCATGAGATGTAGGTCATTGACATACTTTAGGAAAGGTAGATCATAGGGAGGCCTCTTGGGATATATATATATATATATATATATTTGCATATTTACAGTATACACACATACACATACATACGCGTATTATTCATATATAAATACATAAACAAAACTAACATAAGACAGTATATATTTATATATTGACATATATATATATACATAAACATATGCTATAGTGAAAAATCTCGAAGTCGTCCGTCATGGCTGGGAGTGGTTTTGCGGATCCTCGGCAAAAAACGGATCTCTACGGGTGAAGCGACCTGCATAGAAAATCGGCAACTCCCGGGAGGTTCAAAGTGGCAACTGGGCAACTGGGCAACCATGAGACAAGATGAACACGGGAAACGCTGTAACATGCTGCAGCCCTTCAGTCAGAACAGTGTGATCACCTTGATTTAGGAGGTGTCTTGGGGGATCCCCAAGTCACCACGGTTTTCCATACTCAAATCATGATTCTACGTACTAAAATATGGTCCGATGACTTCGATATACTTGGATTTTTTTTTGGGTGCTCCGATTTTCGGAAACCGCCGGCCTCAATGGTCTAGGTGGAAGAGAAGTTGAATAGCATTGGCCTGGATGGGGCCAAGGTGCCTGTGAATCGTTGGGTCGCTGGATCGTTGGAACTGAGAAAATCTGATTTTTTCCAAATGTTCATTGGAAACAAAACGTAAAAAAAAACTAGAGAAATTTAATGTAATTTCATGTCATTCCTATAGGTATGGTTTGAGGTTCAATATGGCCCTTGGTCTGTCGAAACTGAATGTCAAAGTTTGGATGCAAATCATGAACTGCAACATTGGACCGCCGACACGGGTCATCTACGATCAAAATTCATTCTGGACGATGAAACATCGGCTGCCCCCTAACGTGAAACTTCATTTTTCATGCAACCTGTTTGCATCTTGGAGGCACAGCATTGGCAACCCAAGATTGGGCATATTTGTCATCACAAAGATGTTCTGGTTGGTGGTAACATGAATTTTATTTTCCATATGGGATGTCATCCTTCCCATTGACTCATATTTTTCAAGATGGTTATTGCACCACCAACCAGATGTATATATATATATATGTATTATGATGTTGACGTGCTTATGTGACCTTTTCTGCGGACTGCGAGGTTCTGAAGATTGTCAACTCAACATGTGTTATGTAAATTTTGTTTCCCTTGATTGGTTCATGAATGTATAGAGTGGTCAGGATGATTGACTCTGGCCCTCCTGCGAGGTGGTTCCGTTGGTCAGCTTGTTGTTGGTGTATAATTTCAATAACTGTTGGATTTATGGATGTTTCTGGTGGACCTGTTATATAAAATTGAATTATGAGATATATGTATATATATAATATCTAATTATCTAGTTGTATAATTATATATAGATGCTATAGATATATATATATAAATATATCATTAAATATATATATATATAGTCTATACTAAATTTGATGGGGGTTATAAGCCAACAAACACAATTTGCGGGGCTCCACCTTTCAGTTTAATGCCGTTTTATTGATGAGTTATCAAAAACGTTTTTATCAGTGTTGTAGTATCACTATCATTATATATATAATCATTATGTATATATATATAATCAATATATATATATAATCATTATATATATATCATTATATATATACATGAATGAATCATTTTATATATATATATATATATCTATTGTTGGTTATTAATTAACGGTTATGAACTATATATCCAACCTTGCTAGGACATCGTTGCTTCATTGTTGGAGGTCCGTGGTCGTTCAGCCTCGAAGAAGAGATCGGGATCCCTTCTGAGTGCCTTGGACCACCCAACAGCAGTGGGGGTAGATGGGTATATTGGGATTTTTAATGGGATTTTAAACCAAATGTGGTTTCAATTCCCATAGGATCCATGTATGGTATATATGCTAACATTTGGGGTATATTGATGGTAAATGTTACCATATATAGCTTACATGGATCCTATGGGATTGTGGTTATAATGATTTTATTCATGGGATTTTAATCATGGGATTTTAAACATTATGTGAGGATATAATGTGGTTTACAATGAGGTATAAACAATGTGGTTTATAAATGTTTATAATGGGATTTTTTCACCAAATCATTTATAGCCAAACATTGATGCCATTTTAACAATCGGGAATAAAGAAATGGAAGTGGGGTACCTTATGTTCAGACACAGCTTGGGATTGTCTTTTGTTCAGTCATGTTTTTGGTTATTGTATCGCGACATATCAACAGACATTTTGTCGGACACGATGATCCATGTCCATTTCTTTGGGGCATCAACTTGACTCACTTGACCTAGACATGCACAGTGTGGCCATCAATCCCAAGTTCCCTTCCCTGGATTGCGCATCGAAACGATCGATAAGTTGATGTATAACTTGGCTAACTGGGACTTATGGTAGATATATCTACTCTCCTGGTTGTGTTTTTTTGGCTACATGTCTAGCCTTGCGGAGCCATCCTGAATCTAGTTTGCTTGTTTCCATCAGAGAGTCTGTGTCTTTGGGCATGTCAGATCATCTTGGTATTTCAAGATTTGATGTGATGGTCGCACCTCCCATTTTTGACCTGTATACTATACCTGCTAGCGTAAATAGACCCCTTTGGGGCCTAGATCAGCGCCAGGAAAACGTAAGCACGATGCCGGAGAAGAGGAGGTGCCTTCCAGTAAGGGGGCGGACCCACAAATCCCAAGGGCTGGGGAGTAGAAACTGTCAACACAGGACTTGGCAGACTTAATAGATTGAGTAGACTTAGTAGACACCAATCATGTTTAATGATTCCTTTTTTGGTGGTATCTTAGGTATCTTCCATTATCTTCCTATATAGTTCGAAAACCTGGGGTTATAGATCTGCGTTGACGAGTCCAACATATCAGGTTTGGTGTATTGTGTGCCAGTGTGCCATTATAGTACTGGTTTGTCATCTACCTGTGCAATATATAGGGCAATACGTTTCAATCTTGTGTCTGGAATGACTGCTTCTGAGCAATTTGAAACCTCTGATTGTGTGATGCTCATCAAGACAGATGCCGTAAGATTTTGTAAGAATCATCAACGCTGACCCGCCTCAGACTCATGGTTGTGGGTCTTTAAAGGGGAAATCATTCCTGCCAAAATCTTTCAGGTGGGGATGACCGTTGATTTTGTCACTTTGCCTTTGTATCATAAGCACCTACAGTGGTAATCACCATGGGGATGGATCAAAACATATCAAAACCATTATAACACCTATTCTCCTGTATTATTTGAGTGACGCACATCCATAACTACCAGTTACTTCCAGCTACGAAAAATCACCACCACATCATGTCATACAGTATATATTGTACTATATATATATACCATATATACATATCGCACACATTTTGAGGCGGTTTGTCGTAGGTCAAAGCCTCTGGTGGAATGACCACAAACATGCACCTCATGGCGTTCTAAGAAAAACACTGCAGGATCGTTGTTCCTTGTACACGAATTTGGGTCTATATGTATCTATGCAATTATATATATATGGTTGGTGGTTTGGAACATGTTTTATTTTTCCATAATATATGGGATAATCCTTCCCATTGACTTTCATATTTTTCAAGATGGTTGAAACCACCAACCAGATATAGTTCGAAAGGATTCACCTCAAGACATTGACAATTCCAGGTCCTGCAGATCCAGGGGTCTGATCATTGACACCAGGTCCAGTGAAATGTTTGCTGGTTTTCACTATAGGAACTACTTGGATATATCTACCATAAACCACTTGGAATTCGCCTAGTGGATTGAAGCAACTTAGCGATTTCGTGTGGGGCACACCTTGTAGGTCCTCAAAATTCTGTCATCCCAACGCCCTATTTCAGTTTCAGGCTGGCACGCGGACGCTGTCTCGCGCACGCAGCAGGCCTGTTATGGGCAGCACAACACCTGACGATTTGACCAAAAAGTGGAGGTTCTGTAGTCATCAGTGGAACCCAAAAAGGTGTCTTCCATCAGAACCTTGACCCAAAAAATGCACTTCAACGCACCGACAAAAACATGATGTCAGGGTGAGTCAGGGTCAACTTCAACAGAGTAGGTACGAAAGACGTTGTAGATCTACCTAATGGGAGAAAACAACTAGTACTACATCAGTACTACATCACGTCTTTTGTATGTGAGAGTCAACTCAAACAGATTGTTTTTAATGATATATATATATATGGCTGCGAGTTAAAATGTAAAAGCCCCGATCCATACCCTGAACCGACAGGCCGATCCATACCCCCGATCCATACCAAAACGCAGGTGATCCAGACTGATCCATACGTCTGGATCACTGCGGGTCGATCCATACCCGAATTTTGACGCAACCCCACATATATATATATATACGAATCCATATATACTTTGACTCTGGGATTAATCGAGAACACCATATCAATTTTAAAATTGTACTAGCCCAAAAAATAACTGCACAACATATGGATTGATCCCCAATTTCAAACTGTTGACCCCCAAACAAACAGCTAGTATACTCCGCTGCATTAAGCAATCACAGGGGTGGTATTTTTCCATGATATATATATATATATATTATTCTAAACTATTGTCAATTCACCTCAATATATGAGCCATTCAAATCCAATTAAAGTAGTGATGTAATCAATATTTCTATCTTTGTAGGGATTACACCAAAACCATTGTCATATAAGGCAATGTCTGAAAATTGTGTACCCCATTCCATCCATTAGTTTACCATCATTTTTCCTATATCAATAACTCAATGACAATTCTTTGGGTGTCCCCATTTTCAGGCACGTCCATGTACTTAAGGTTGATTATATATCCCATTAAATCACCCTTAATTTGATGCTTAAATCCCATGCAATTCCATGAAATCCCAGTCAATATACCACTTGTCATGGAATTTTTGGGGTTTCACCGTCGGATCGCCAGGAGTATTGGTTTGCCTTCTGAGGGGGCCGCGCAGGCGCCGGCTCCTGATAGCTTAGATTTAAAGTAAGAGTCCATGCTTTTGCACCCAGTATTCTCCCAATAACCATGTGTTGCACACTTATACAATCTTATACATATCTGGTTACATGTATCACCTTTCCTTCACCTCCAAGATACGTAACCCCAAAGTCATTTGAGGTTGCCGATCACCTTGGTTGCCTATCCAGAAGGTAGCTGAAAGGCTAGGGGTTGGTAAAATTCCACCATCATATTTGTGTATTTTATACCCTCTGTTTATTTAACATAGCTATGGAAAATGGTCCATTTATGGATGATTTACCTCTATTTTCCTATTAAGAATGGTGGATTTCCATAGCTATGTTAATTAACCAGAGGGTATATAGAATAGACAGTGGTAAGTTTTACCTGTCTCTACTGGGGGAAGCAACTGGGTCTTCTCGGTTTCAGCCACTGGCTAACTGGATGGGTATGGTATGCAAAGCAAAACATGATGACCCCACTCCCAGAAGCTGCAAAGGACAGCAAGTTGTGTATCAGTTCAAAGTATAATTACTGTACCATTCCTGAACCTTTTCGCCATGTATTTGGAGAGTGTAGTTCCACTTCATAAGTGACTGTACGGCCACAATTATGAGGTATTGTGCGCACTTCGAATGTTTCACATTGTTGATACCCTAGGTTAAACGTTTCCGTAGGTGTGGAAAACCCATGGTTTCCAGGAACATGATCTACATCTTCGTGGCTCAACGCCCCAAACGACTTTGGGGCTCGGGGCTCAAGTGCGAATTCTTCGATCATTTTTATGTCATCGCAGGTGGTGGAAAAGAAGCGAAGGAAGACCATGCGCTTGCACCAGAAGAAGGGCCATAAGGGCGAGGCGCGATGGCGCGCGCACGATGAATCCCCCAGAAGCTTTCAGGATGGAGGTTTGGAAAGGCATGGAAAGGCATATATTTTTGGTGGTTTGGGGTAAGTTGAATCCCCCAAAATTCATAAAATCACACGGGTTGGTGGTTTGGAACATGTTTTTTTTCCCATGATATATGGGATTCACCATTAAAACACATTCCGAATGGTGATGGTGATGGTGTCAGAGATGGTTTATGGAAGTCAGAAATATGGTTCTTTGGTAATGTGGTGAAGCTGTTCATAAACAATCCCCGAATCATCACCATTTTTATGGCTGCTATAAACCATCCCCAAATGGTAGGTTTTTTCTTGGCTTGCCCACATTAGCCATGATACAAGTTCTTTATGTCCGAAAATTCTGGAGTGACAGCGAGGGCCCCGGCCATGATGTGTCATACATCCATATGATTTGATGGCCAACAAGCAGCAACGGGATTGTTGCTGCTTGCAAGTGGCCTTGCTTCCAGTTGCCCTTGTAACAGCCAATTGCAAATGGACATTGAGTAGCCAGACGCTTGAAAGTCAGCTTTTTTTTCTGTGAACACAGTACTGTCAGTTCTTCCAAGTTTCATTCCGTATGTCAAATTATACATACACATCCCATTATATCCATTTATATCCCATGTTTGTGGTTTAAATACCTAGACCATGGAACACCTCTGCCACTGCATTTTTTGGACATCATTTTCAGGCAGACAGATGGATTCCAGACCTCAAACCGAAGCATTTGTATTCGGGCCACTTGGATTGGAGAGCCAGGGGAGTCATACTGGCGATCATACCATCGACAAGTTGGCCAAGTTGGCCAAGTTGGCCAAGTTGGCTGAGCAGCTAGCCATGGCCTACTGTAGAGAAGAGTATTATATAGTATTATATATAATGAATATATGATCTATTCGAATATAGTTGTTAATTATGTATTGATTTTATAGTATATTATGATATATAGTTGATATTATTAATATGTAGCTAATATATGAATATATATATATATATATATACATATATTATGACAATGTTGACGTGCTTACGTGACCTTTTCTGCGGACTGCGAGGTTCTGAAGATTGTCAACTCAACATGTGTGTTTTGAAGAAATGGAACGCTGAGCTCTTTTGTGGTCAGCAATTTCCAGGACACACTTGGATATCCTTCATACTGGATCATATTGGATTATATATTGGATACGCTTATTTTGGGGGTCCTTTATTGGCGTGTAATGTTTTGATATCAGGAGAAGGGGTTGGTTGGTCAACCTGTTACTGAACGTTTGAAGCACCTCCTCCACACGACTAACCTGTTCGGAGAGGTGAACTCAAAGTTGGCCTTATGATAGATACATCAAACTTGGTTAGTGAAGGTTATATCAATGGGAATTCTAGGATCCTAAAATGGAGGTACTCTATTATAATATAAGGCCATATTTTGGGGGTATATCCCCTTACATCGGCCTTATATATGGTAGATACCTCCAATTTGGGTTCCTGGAATGATCATTGATTGTAAGCCAATAAACTTCAATAAACATAACAGGGACCACCACCTTTGTAAAAGGGAAGATCAAAGAGGCAGTCGATTCGATTGAAAGTTGCTCGGATGGCAAGTTTTGCTCTGAAACCATGACTATCAAATTGACAGATGGTTTGGGGCGAGCCTGTTTGAAATAGCAACCTGCATTTGTATCCCCACAAGAAATTTGACTGGATAGCATACAGACTTAGAAAAACGGTAGGAAAACCATCATCATCATCATCATCATCATCCCGAACCCTTTGGTAATATAACACTATATGAAAGCCACCCTTAAATATATATATATATATATCAGTTCGATGATAAATACACTGAAATCCCTGGGGCACCCATTGGTGCGCTGAGGCAAGCGCGGTATTGGAAAGACAGATCGACGCTGAGCCGAAACGGACAGCGTCAGGCGGCCTTGGAGGACGGCCAGAGCCAAAAGGGCAGGAGTTACTGCAACTGTTTGGGGTTTAAACATGTTTAAACCATTCAAACATGGAGATGAATCATTGACATTGAAGAAGCATATAATTTCATTGAACAGGTGTACAACAAGGATGCCGCGCAGATGAGAAGTGAAAATGAGCGGCAGCCAGCGGTAGTAGCTTCAACGTGCATATCCTTGAGATGTATATTATTTACATATATTATACATATATACAGTATACATATATATATATATATTTATATTTATGTACAGCTTATATTTCATCACATTCCAAAGGTCCGGAACAAGACCAGTTACGAAACCCGTTCGTTCCATACGTCCGGAACAGCGCGGAACGTTCCATTCACAATTTTGATTCATAGCCATATCAGGGTCGGTCCAAACAGGTTTTAACATTAAACCGCTTCAACCGTTTAAACCGTTTAAACGTTAGACTATTTAAATACGTTTAGAGCCATGACCCCCAAAACGTTTAAACATTTTAACATTTATGTTGTGGGTCTGTTTGAACATGTCCCAAATGAGTGGTTTGAGTAATAAGAACGGGTGAGCGGGAAAGAAGCACCAGGGTGATGTCACTAGCAGATGCAGGGTCAATGCGAAAGGGACTTGTAAACCAAAAATGAAATGAACTTATAATATCTTATAATATGTGCAGCATTGATGCTGCTTTGTTGATAGATGATTAATTAGAGGGGGGATAAGGGGCTATGTTGAGATCAAACCGGCACAAACTCCAGTGAAACGAACCGTTTAGTGAACTGCAATGAAGATTGAGAGTCTTCCCAAGCGACCTTTGTTCGTCACGTTTTTGTTCGGGTTAGCGGCTGAATCATCGGCAAAATAAATCTGGAACGTGATGGGCTGCTCTTAGACTCTTAGTTGATTACTGGCTGCCGATATCCAACCATTCCACTTGCGATACTTAGCAATGATTGCCATCTGTATGTTGGAACATCTTGGATATGGTAGGATTAGTTGCTACAAAGCGACCCATTAACCATTAAACAATCAGTAATCAACCATTCATTGGACACTAGCAATGAACCATTAACAATTTAACAGTTGACCATGAACCGTTAATCGTTGCTGTTTTCAATATTTTTCCTTTTATTACCCGGTAAGCAACCATTATCCATTCACAAACCGCATGACTTTTGACCCAATGTTCATTTTGTCGCTGTGCCGCCTCAGCGACTACCCTGCTGACAGCGCCAGGTGCCATCGGTGATAAGCCGCTCCAGTCTGAGACGACGACGCGAGACGTCGAGCACGGGAACAGCGGAGCAGAAGCTGAAAGGAAGGTACAGGTACTACACAGGATTATAAGCAGGTATAGTAGACCCTACATTCCTACATTATTATTGTTTTTAATATAATATTCTATACCCTTACTGTAAAAACAATATAGCAACAATGTTTTTTAAATTATTTGGACTGTCATTCGCTGTTCCAGGTACTGTACACAGCTATGGTAGAGGTCCAAAGCAATGATTCCAAAAGGCCCATCATCCCATCATCTCTAATGTTGTCTCCCATTTTTTCTGTGAACATTCCCCGGGATCCACAGCCAGAGATCTTCAGGAATTCATCGGCTAAAGCAAGATATGTGACCTGCAGTGACCTGCAGCATCGAGTCCTGGCATGTCCTGGCTATTGCAGCCATGGCTTTTATGCAGAAAATTGGGGTGATTCGAACGATATTTCAATTGGGGTAAACCCTGGTTGGTGCTTTGGAACATGACTGGGCTTTGATGATTCTCCCATCATATTGGGAATGGAATGTCACCATCCCAAATGACGAACTCCATCATTTTTCAGAGGGGTAGGTACACCACCAACCAGAACCCAATGAGCCATCTCCAATTGAGGTTTCTGACATTGGGTATACCGGCATGTTCCCTGTTTGGGATGATTAAAAAGGACCCCCGCCCTGTTTTTGGATGGTTATTTCATCATGTGGTCATCCCTTTCTGGATTTTACACAAAGAAAACGAGTCATTGAACAGGAACAATCTTCATGTATGCGTTGTTGTGTTTACATTTGACTTCCCTGACAGATAAATCTAGGCGCAACGGATCATTAGATATTGATATTAGATATGATTAGATATTATTATATAGCCATTACTACTAATATTAAATATGTTTAACCACTATTGACCATTGAAATATAAAGCCATTATCATACACCATTAAACCTTATTGTCTATGAGGATGATAAGTGGTGTTCTTGCCGTCCGCTGTGCCCGTCGCTGTTCCGTCTGAAATTGGGGTGCTCATCCGGTGTGAAAATGGCGCGAGGGAGATGGCAGATCCCCTGGAGGTTTTACCCTCCATGGCTTCTCAAGCGGATATGGGTTTCAAACTGGTTGGTGGTTTCAAACATTTTTTATTTTCCATAATACAGGGGATGTCATCCTTCCCATTGACTTTCATATTGTTCAAGATGGTTATTGCACCACCAACCAGACAAAAATGTACACCCAAACTTTGGATGGTCGATCTCGTCGGACATGGGTGAACACTGGGGCCCCCGGTTCTGTGCAGTCTTGGACCAAAAAACTGCCGGGATTTTTGGTGGGGAATATGGTTTTGAAATCAAGATCAACTAGAAAAAACCTGACTTTCAATTAATCTGGGCAAGTTACAGTCACGTTTTTTTTTTCAGGGGAATCATCCCAAAATGGCCCAACATTTCAGGTTAGTGAATTACTATCATTGGCCCAGATGAATCATGACCAGATCATACCAGACCTGTGTGTTGGGATGTTCCACATTTCATCCAGCCCAGTGCTGCCAGTGTCTCATCATGTCTCATCCCCATCTCCTTGAACCGCCGGAGTCCCAGCAGGACATGACGGTCATGGAAGGTTGAAATTTGGACATCTTGGGAATGGTGTAACAAACATATTTCTGTATAGATCCACGGATTTTTTTGAGGAATTTAGTGCTGTTTTTTGGGGAAAATATATGTTAAACAGGAACCCCAGCGATTTCATGGGAAACTCCATGAATAGAAGATATTGTATTGCTGATTATTACTGTGAAAAGGTATGTGAAAACTTGATGCCCTCAACTAGGCTGGATTTTGGAGCTTTTCCACAGCTATCGGACGAATAAAGGTGGCAAGACCCATCTACGAAGTGGCTCTTAAACTCCGTAGATGGGGGGTTCAATGGCGAACAATTACCCCAAATTGTTTGTTTTATAATGGAACATCCTATTAAAATAGATGATTTGGGGGTATCCACATGACGTAGGAAACCTCCATATCATAATTTATCTATCCTCAATCGGCTGGGTTAATACTGGTAGCCTGGTCGTGATTTTGCCATGGATACTGCGTCGTGGCTGTCTTCTTTGGCGTGACTCGGCACCGGCAACAAAGATATCCAAAGATTGATTTGGGTATATGGATCAAACATATTCAAAAATTGCGATCCCAGACCCCATCTAATTTTACATATCAGGGCTGACAATAGAAAAAAACAAGTGAATTTAGATGATTTTAGGGTATGGTAACTGCCAAATTTTGGATATGAATCACATCAGGAAATAGCCCCAAACTGGGCAAGTGATTCTCCCCTAATGTTTTTGCATTATCTTGCAATTTGGAATGGAAATCGAAGGGTGCGAGGCTGATGACCCATCTCAAAGCAGTTTTTGTTATATACATAGCATATAGATTCTTTTGGATCCTCAAACATCCCTTTTGCCGGAAAGTCCCTGCTGAATTACTATAGACTATCTATAGCATCCCCTGCAAAAACACTAGAAACAGTTGGAAAGCCTCGAAAATCCATGGGGGACGCATCATCCATACCATGCCGGTGGCAGTTGCCGGTGGCTTGATCTACCTCCATGGCCACCAGCCTTCATGGCAATATGGCAGCAACTTGCAACATCAATGGACATGACCTGTTGCTATGTTGGATTCGGAGATTTGCCCCGATGCTACATGATGCTACATGAACAAAACTGATCAAACATGTCTTTCATAACAGGTATATAGAGATCTTTTTTGGGGTGTCCTGTGGGTAAGTGAAATTCCCATGTATCCTCTTTACTTCCAAGTACACAGCAGTGAAGCCTGAAACATCAGATTCCAAGGACAGGTTTGGACTGTGCAAATGGCTCACCCCAGCACCCCAAACCACCCCAAGTTTTCCAACGTCCCACGCTCTGGTTGGCTATGGCGGAGCATGTTGTCTCGATTGAGATTCACAATGCGGTGAATGGTGAGCAGCTGGTTCTTGGCCTTTCAATTAGCGACCGTTGTCAATTTGCAGGCTGGCAACAACTGGCAACAACTGGCAACAACTGGCAACAACTGGCAATAGCTCAAGATCGCAAAATAACCATTATATACTGAGCTTAAACCTAACGTTCTTAAACTGTCAAGAGCTATGACCATCCTTATAGCTCAAGAGCTTAAACTGTCAAACTGGATATATACTGTAGACTTAAACGTTTTTCAACCATCCGGACTCCATTTTTTGAGGCCATTTTAGGGCCAAGAATCTTGACCCATAGCTAAATCTTTCAGCATTGTCGCGTCACGTAGTGCAGGTTACGTTATGTAAATTGCTTTGTCTGGAAACATTGTGATTTTGCTTCTGAAAAGTGCGGACCCACAGTCCCACCATGAAATTTATTGTGATCCCACGAAACCCCACCATGAAAGATTGCTTAGTCTGGAAATGGTGATTTAGTATACTAAAAAGACGGTTTTGGGTAAAAGGACGGTTTTGGGTATACTTGGGTTTGAGACAAAGCCATTTCTGCAGAGTTCTGCAGATAGCATTCCAAGCTGTCAACGTCAAACTCAGGGAATACACCCTGAAGGGTCCCTAATGTTCGAGGAAATCCGTAGAATGCCAATTCTGGTCTAACAATTCTGCAAGGAAATCCTGGTGGATAGATGATTATCATGAGATATCATGACGAAACAAACATGTTTTTGTTCTAGGATCTTCCATGCAACCCAGCTGCAGGCTTCCTTTGAGATGAAAACCACCGACTCCCTCAAGGAGCTATACCTGCGCATCTTGGCGCAGGAAAGCTTGCTAACCCCCACAATAGTCCCAGTATGTCCCAGTATATTCCCAAAGTGTCTCATAAAATGCCTATGTAATCCAATCAAATTATATCCCATGACATGTAATCCTAGTTATGTCCCATGTAATATCGTAATTAACATCATTTTAAATACCCTATACTTTACACATATATATATATATATTATATAAATCCCATTAAATCCTATTTTAATTCCCAATTAATATTTTCCCATGTTCGCCAAAATCGCCGATGTCACGGTGTATGATGTCACTGCCGGGTCGATGTTTCGCAGGTGTCAAAGCTCTGGTGCCGTCGTCCGGCAGAGCTGCGATGCCGCTGCTGCTGTGACTCGACTGACTCGACGGGACGGGATGGTCCGAGCGGTCTGAAAAAGTGAGGCCGCAGAAAGGGAAAAAAAAACAAAAGAAAATATGATCGACTTGAGTTTTATAAATTGAAAATAGTTAGCCTGCTTTGAATGTTTTTCTCACTGAAGATAATTCATGATAATCATTGCAGTTATGGCCATTTATTAGTTATAGCTGGTTATAAATGGGATTATATATTCTATAAATGGAGTTATAAGTACTTATAACTGGTAAAGGGCCTTAACTGTGTGGTTTATGCCAGAATCTACCAGTTGTATCGGTTGTTCTTGGAGTATGACTTCGTTCGGACTGCATCAGGTCCACACCCTGAAGTGTACAGCACTTCGGATATCCCACTTTGAGTCCGGTAGGGGCACCGAGATCAACCCCATTGGTGAGTGGATAACAATGCATACATATATGTATATATTATATATATATATTGCAAAACCCATGAGTTTGATTTGTCTACGGCTAAGGGGTTGATTCTCTACATTCTCTGCTGTTCTATTTCGCCAGTTTCGGTTGGGAAACCAACCACCAACCCGACGCGACGTCAGGTTCGAAGGGCAGCAGTTGGCAGCGACCTACAGTTCGATTGGATCGGCTGGGACGCTGGGCACAAAGGTGGCTGGCGTCATATTCGGTATGGATATCCTTTGGCAAACTAACAGCTACAGTTATGGCCATTTATTAGTTATAACTGGTTATAAATGGGATTATACATTCTATAAATGAGTTATAAGTACTTATAACTGGTAAAGGGCCTTAACTGTATAGAAATTCACCATTTTGAATAGGTAAATCAACGAGCTGAAGGGGATATTGTAAATAGCTATGTTCAATTGCCAGAGGGTATCCTAGTATCCAATGGTTTATTTCTGTTTTCCTGAAAAAACAGATGGCAATGTTGGGGTATGTCCAATTTGTCGACTGGCCCCAAGTACACACTGTTGACTGCCTCATAAGGTACATGCAGTTTGTGTATGGGTAAATTGAACATCTGCATGAATCATATGTCATATTGAATAACTAGTTCTGTTGATAAATAATAAAGGATCCAAACAGGTAGGGGTGGAGAGGGGTCCTGCAGATGTTCCTATTTTTCCTCTGCTAGGAATATAGGAAATTGCCACCTGATTACAATTTCACCTGAACTCTGTTCCAAAATGTTCAAAACCCCCGTTGGTTGATGACTACTTCGGGGACTATACTAAGCAATATTGACTATATATTGACTACATATTGACTATATATTGGGGATTATGGATTATCATGGATTATCATGGATTATCATGATCCATGAACGGGGAATTCCGTTCTCAACCCACGCACACGTTGCGCGCGTTTGTTGCTGAGGATCTTGGTTCCTGGCCCCGTTGCACTGACCTTGGTCTGGAGTGTCTTGGCAGGGACCTTTTTTTGAACTTCTGGAAGGTTTTGACCGGGGATTCAAAGAAATACCCTCTGGTAAACTGCCACATAACTATGGAAAATCACCATTTTTAGTGGGTGAATCCACTATTTCTATGGCCATTTTCAATATTAGCTATGTTAGTTTACCAGAGGGTAGATGTGATGTACTTAGATAGGTCAGGCTTGGCATAACATTAAAAAAAAATCACGCAAATAACAAAAAAATAAAATACGTGTTTCTTCACCATCTATTGAACGAATTTTCAGACCTTTGGGGTTTTGCAGATTCGATATGCGGAATCAGCAGAATGTCCATGGAGCTTCAACAGCCGAGAATTTCGAACACCACTGTTGATTCATATTATAACATGTGCTATATATATATATATTAGTTTACATAAAATGATATGTATATATATATACTAGGCATAGACATAACTTATAACCTAGTTGTATCTAGATGTACACTATAAAGATAAATAGGTATAAACATAATATACATCATGCTATAATTATACATAATATATTTATATATCTTAGGTATATACATCATGCTATAATAAAATATAATTAACATAATATATTTATATATACATGTATATATATCATAACATATATCATAATGTATATCATAATATATATATATATATCATAATATATATATATACATCATAGTACATATATATATATATACATATATCTCATAATCTATATCATAACACATATCATTATATATATATATATTATATATCATAATATATAAATCATTATATATATCATAATGAATATATATATATATATATATATCATAACATATATCAACATATATCATAATATATTCATAATATCTCCACATTGTACATCCCTTATGGAGGTGTTGAGCCCGCGGACTTGACCAACCTGGGGGATGTGGACATTTCGGACGCTCGGGTTGAACGAGTTGAACGAGTTGTGACCGGGAAAATAGCCATTGGATTATGATCATAACTATAGGGTTATTAACATGCTACAACTAGAATAACAAGGGTTATATCCATAACTAGGGTTCTATTGATTCTATTTGTGTTTCAGCTTTGGGATGTGGAATAGTTTGCTAGCAGTGCACTTGCCTGTTGTAGAAACCCAGGCATCTTTTCCATACAATGGAGGGTCTCAGCTGGTTGTAGCTTGCTGGGGCTTGGAAGTTTTTAAATGATCATGGTGCCAAGAATATCCATCAACACAGTATCTGCAAGGTGCTGCCCTCTCCTGTGATGTTTGTTGGAAATATAAGTATACACATAGTTCGATACATATATATGTATATATATGTGTGTAATATCTAAAATAAATCCTATGTAATGGAGTTATAAACCAACTCAGCTATACTTAGGTCACAAACTGGTGCAGCACTTGTGGAGATGGCTTAAAGCAACTTTTTTGAAAATTTTGGGTCATTTTATAACTGTCAGCTATTTTGTTCTATTTGGGTCTAAGTGTTTTGACCTGTTTTGACCCATCGCCATGACACGTCTGACAACATGAAGTGTCTTCATGATGTGGCTTGTAGTGGTAAAGAGGAATCAAACCTTAAAACATCTTAAGACATCTTAAGACATCATAAGTCTCGATTAGTGGCTGATTCTATCCCCTGTAGATTGCCACTGCCTAATCAAATCCTATGGTATCAAGCCATTGAATCATTGTTGTTTTGGCCTCAGTGCCCGCAATAGTTGTATGTGGAACCAGGTCATGGAGGTTTTAAACGAAGCGTAACTGGGGGGCACCAACTCAGGTACCATGGCTGATTTGGGCACATTCATGGAAATTTGATTTACTTTGAAAGGATTCTGTTGAAGTATGTTCAAATTAACCCTCAGAACTCAGAAGTAGTAAGCATCGAGAATTCTCATTGAAAAACAAGATTCAACCCACGAACCCGAATGCAGTCACGTAGAACACTTTTGTGAAACAAGTTATTTGAGCAGTTTTGTACATTTCTCCCCTGTTACCATGCCAGTGCACTGTAGACTGTGGAATGCGGAAGACAGTGGAGTGCAAAGTGTGGAGTGTAAAGTGTAGAGTGTGGACTCTAAAGTGTAAACTGTGGAGTGTGGAGTGTAGAGTGTGGAGTGCAAAGTGTAGAGTGTAAAGTGTGGAGTGGATAGTGTGGAGTGCAAAGTGTAGAGTGTAAAGTGTGGAGTGTAAAGTGTAGAGTGCGGAGTGTAAAGTGTCAAGTGCAAAGTGTGGAGTGTAAACTGTGGAGTGTGAAGTGTAAAGTGTGGAGTGTGGAGTGTAGTGTGTGGACTGTAGAGTGTAGAGTGCAGATTGTAAAGTGTAAAGTGTGGAGTGTAGTCACATGTCACAACATGCCACGCCTGCCACGGAATTTGCACGTTGCCACCACTTCACGCAGCCCTGACAATTTCGCAAAAACACGCAATGCGACACGTCTGAAGTGCTGCGCTTGCCACGCGAAATGACGATGGAGGTCTCCAAAGTGCTGCGCCTGCCACGGAAGCTGCAACTCATCTTCTGAAAATGACGCAAAAGTATTGCGCCTGCCACACAAAACGATTTTCGACACTTTTGCAGACACGTGAGAATAACACCAAGTGCCACGCCTGCCACACGAAACGAAGCTACGCGACATTTGGAACCTCCGGTAGCCACTTTTGCAGAACTCACCATAGGCACGGCCATGCGGCCCTCACGCGAACGCCTGCGGACGGTTGCGAACGGTTGCGCAACGTCTGGCAAACACAGCCTCAACCCCCAAACCCCCAGAATGAAACCGGAACCCTTGCTACGCATTCGGGAAAATCTAGTCATATTACGCTAGACAGCTCGCTAGTTTGGTTAACATATATATATATATATAATTTAGCCAAAACATGAATCAGCTGTTATAGTTTAGCCGTATTTGTAATAAGCCATTCGTGCTTTCGCTGATTCATATAGCGACGAGCCGTTGGCCCAGGCCGAAGGGTACCATTGCCATGATACCCATCTGGCAGCTCGCCAAGGGGATGGATCAATGCGAGGGTTGAACGCAAAGCAACGGTTTGTTATGCAGCATTTATGCTATCCAAATTAGACAATTGATTGATATATAGTTATATATGTTTAATAAATGATTAATATGTTATAAACTATGTTTAACATCCAATTATATATGTTTAATCATGTTTAATCAAACTTCCAACCAAAGAACGTGAAAGACAAACAACATGAATAATTTTGAACCACGCAAAAGGAAGGATTGCATCAAGACCAGTGGGGAGTGAAGCAGGAACGTGAGGATGCAACCAGCTCAAGGTAAGGATTCAACCAGAACAGAAGAGGATTTGGATTTTGGACCCACAATCATGATGTTTCGGTAGCAATTTTGGGGAGAACATGGGGTATGGACGGTATGGAAATTTAGATCTGTGGGTCCAACCTTTTGAAGCTTCGGAACCATGGGCCAGGCCTAAGAGATTTCTCTGCAGGAAATATGGCAGATCCTCACCAAGCACGCACGGTTTTTGCATCTATCCTATCATTCTTAAATATCCGTAGTTTGGTTGCAGGATATCCAGCTACCCTCGTTAACTAAGTATGGACATATCTACCAACTTCCGACCTGGGGCAACACCCTGTGGCTATTTTCGCCCATAGGGATTGAGGTCGACCCAGCCTGTGACCCTGTGCTCAGGTACGAGTTTGTTCACCAGATCCAGGTACTTTCTATATGCCGCTCAGAAACCACACGGTAATGTGGGAGTTACCCCCCAGGTATGGCAAAAAATAATAGGGATGTGATGATGTGATCTGGTTGGTGGTTTCAACCATGAGTTTTATTTTCCATTTCAAAAAATGGGATGTCATCCTTCCCATTGCCTAACTCCATCATTTTTCAAGGTGGTTAAAAAGAGTTAGGTCTAGGTCCTTCACTTGTGTGTTGTTTTGCCAGCCCTTCAAAAAAACAACAACGAACCAGAAAACAAGAAACCAAGAAACCAAAAAACTAAAAAAACAAGACCCCCCCCAAAAAAAAAAACAGAGAAAATTAGATTGCACACCCCAAGGGGGGGAGTAGTGGCAGAGAGTTGGGTCTTGTCTTTTTGTTTTTTTGGGTTTCTTGTTTTTTTTTTGTTGTTTATTTTGATTTGTTTAGCCATTGCAGAAAAACCTAGCAGAAATTGTCAATGGTTGCAAAGCAGTGAGAGAACCATCGCAGATGTGCAGTGTCAGTGGCTGCAGAATGCAGTGAAAAACCGCACTCCCAGGGTGTCCCCTTCTGTAAGCAAAAGTTTAGCCTATGTCTTAATTATCATTTGCTGGGAGTTTGTATTTAATTTGTTTGTTTGCATTGTGAAGCGTTCTGCATGATCGGTTGCTGTCCAACTTTTCTTGGTTAGTATTTCGCAGTATATTTCCCAATGTTTGGCTGGCTGATATCCCATGAGTGAAGTATCTGAAGGTACCAGAAGGATTATATATATATATATATTATATATGGGGGTTTCTCAAAATGGGAGATCCCCAAAACCATTGGTTTCAATACTAAACTGGTCTAATGACTTGGATGATTTGGGATATTCCCACAATTTTTAGGAAACTTCCATATTTCGTTTTTTGTTGGCTTGATATGGGTTTGCCTGAAAATATGGTAATTATATACCCCATTCCATGCAATGGTTGAATTATCATCCCCAGCCACCAAAATGGTGTTTCCAGTCATTTCAGATTGATAGTTGAATTAATAAATCACATTCTAATCCCCATTATTTTCATATGTTTTCTATATGTTTAACTTTTAAAATGCCCATTCAATGCACATAAAAAAATCCCATTAAAATCCCAATTAAATCCCGTAAGACTTCACTAAATATACCCCTCGAGGTCGTGGCAGCGGTCCTATAAACGAGAATCAGGAGAGCCCGTGTGTTGGATCAACCGGGTAGGCATTTATCCTCCAAACGGGCTGTAATCGAATTTTATGGGATTTATATAGTGAGATTGAATGGTCATTTATGGATATTTATGGGATTTAGTTGCGATTTAGCGTTCAATGGGATTTAGTGGAGTTTAGTTTTATTTAATGGTGATTTTCATCGAATTTCATGGGATTTAGTTGCGCTTCATAGGATTTGATGGCAATTTTCATTGAATTTCATGGGGTCCTGTTAGATGGTCATGTTAATCGAATTTGTGGGATTTAGATGAATTTTATGGGGATTTTATGGGGCTTTAGTGGAAATTTCATGATTTACCTTCCAGTAAAGGTTGTCCTGGAAGCAATTGCAAGACATAGATAGCCAAGGAGAAGACTTGGGAATACTTGGGAAGACGGAGCTGGTACTGGAAAGAGTGGAGGAAATCTACGCCATGGTGCAAATCAATTCTCTAAAGGATCGGTTCGCAAGTGAGGTAGCGGTATTCACATGAAGGGTGCCGGGAGGAAGGATTATTTCAAGCATTTGAAACTGATCCTCAAAGCTTGGCTGGAACGTCAGCGCTCCCTGCAGCACCATGTGGACGAACAGGATTTGGTAGACGAGTTTGTGGAAGTTTGTGGAACTGTTGAAGACGGAGCCTGCCTGCATTGAAATTCGACCCAAAACTTTCCGCTGGAAAAGACAGAACAAACAAGAACAAACAAGAACAAACTGGCACCCAGCTTCGAGGACTTCAAGCCTGTCCAGGATCATGTGGATGCCCAATCTACTCATAGGCCACATAGATGTGGAGAATGAGAATCAACTATTTGTCGATCATTTTCCCGGGGAAACCCATGGAAACCATGTATTTGTTCTTTATACATCTATGTTTTTTTGCCGGTAAATGATGCAACCATAGAAACTGGTCCAAATATGTGGTTAGATGATTAAACATATATATCATATATAGGTATTTGCATGATGAATGGATCATTTAACTTAGTAACTGGTGAGTGTGGCTGTGGGGTTATAACATGTTTGCTTTTCCGAGTTATACATAGGATACGCCACGAAATGGCACTTACTCAGCAGGGTTTTTGACTAACTAATAAATGCTTCGCATCATCAGCGGAGACAGTACCCAGCTGTCATGATTTGTGGTGCGATCCTCCAATTTTGATGATCGTAGGAGGTGAAGGAAATACACCCAGTTAGATTAGTTGGATATAAACACAGTCATAACCCATAATACAAGCATATTAACATATAGTAACCATTTATGTAAACAAATATGGTGGTATCCCAGTTCAAAAACCAGAAAGTCCTGCAATACTATGGCCAGAGAGGCCAAGCAGCTTGGAGTTTCCGTGCATTTTGGCCATGACGATTGCCTTGATCAATTTTCACGAACAAGCTATTTTCTTTGCGGGTTACTATTAAAATATATTTATTATATATATATATATATATTGCACGCAAATTCTCAATCATTTATACTGGAAAGTATACCCGGGCTACTATAACTCATAACAAATTCTCGGTACACGCCAGCGATTACGCCGACGCACACGGCCGCAGGTTTGTCAAGTCTGTGAGGCGAAGAAAGATATATATGTTGTATATATGTTCATTTTGTTAGATATATCTATATTATATATGGTTCATTATGCATACTATGTGTGTATATATGGCTCAGCTCTGCAACCCCACCCCCCTCCCCCCTCATGGTCATGTTCCTGCATGTACGCTGTCGGATATAGTTGACATAAAGACCATATGTAAACAAATAATTAAATAGATATACACATACCCAAATGAAATCACATATTCGAAGGAAGTTTAGAAGTCAAACTTCCGAAAATATGGACAGATGGAAAGCAGAGGTGGGAAGAGTCAGAGAGGAGAAGAGAAGAAGAGACAAGACAGGAGAAGAGAAAGAGTGAGAAGAAAGAAGATGCAGGTGTGCGAAAAGGTAGGAAAGTCGCGAAACTGTGTTTTTTTCCAATGATTTGTGGTTCTGAAGGTCAAAAAGTAGGCTCGCTAAAGCGGCGGGTGTGGAGCCAGCTGGCCAGATGAGAGATGAAAAGTTGCACCCCGTTGTGGCGCAAAGCGCATTTCGAAGTCAAAATGTACAAAACACACCAGCTTCGCAAAAAGTGCACGCTGTTTTGGAGCGAAGCATATTTCCAAGTCAAAATGTCAAGAACACCACATGCTCGGACCACTTTTGAAAGTTCAGATGTGGTTTTGCCTGGCCACGCAAGGGATTCTGCACCTTGCCAAAAGTGAGCAAAATGTGAGGGTTTTGTAGCAGTTTCAAAAGCGTTGGCAGCCGTGGAACATTTGAAGAGGATCTGGAAAGATGCATTTCGCGTGGCGCAGTACAAAAGACATGTTCATCAGAGATGTTAGGAGGTCGGGGCACTGATTTCCTGAGAGGGGTTGCATTTTGGAGCATCAGATCTTCAGTTTTGGGAAGATGATGCTGTGTGACAGGTACAGCGCTCCGTATGACCTGGCATCACTTTTTCGTGGCAGCCGCAGTACTTTAGACAGACGGAGTGGAAAAATCGCAAAACGCATTAGTACGAGGCGGTCAGCCCTGCACTCAACTTATCAACTTTCCATTTTTGAAGGAAGTCTGGCAGAATTGCTTCGTTTTTCATGTTGTCATCTTCGAAAATTTGATGAGGAAGTCTCGCCGTCGCGCAGAATTGCGAAAATTGAGGAAATCTTGCAGAATTGCTGCGTTCTTGATATTGTCAAGTTCAAAAGTTGACGAAGTCTCGCAGAATAGCTTCGTTTTCAAGCTTGCAGATAGACAGACAGATAGACAGATAGACAGATAGACAGGTAGACAGGTAGACAGATAGACAGATAGACAGATAGACAGATAGACAGATAGACAGATAGACAGATAGACAGATAGATAGATAGATAGATAGATAGACAACTACAACTACAACTGCAACTACAACTGCAACTACAACTACATTACACTTCACTACGCTAATTACACAGTATACTACATTACAACGACAACGACAACCACAACAGCAACAACAACAACAACTACTACTACTACTACAACTACAACTACTACTACTACTACAACAACAACTACTACTACTACTACTAGTTATACTACTAGTTATACTACTAGTTACTACTACTACTACTCCTGCTACTGCTACTGCTACTACTACTACTACTACTACTACTACTACTATTACTGCTACTACTACAACTACATTTTCATTACACACAACACTACACTACACTAATTATACTAAACTACACTACAATTACAAATGCAACTACAACTACAACTACACGACGCTACACTACAACTACAATTACACTTCTTCACACACACACACTACACTACACTACACTACACTGCACTGCACTGCACTGCACTGCACTGCACTACACTACACTACACTACACTACACTACACTACACTACACTACACATCACATACTACACTACACTACACTACACTACACTAATTGCACTGCACCGCACTACAACTACAGCTACAATAGACTACACTACACTAATTAAAGTGCACTACACTACAACTACAACTACACTTCCTTACGCTTGACTACACTACACTATACCACACGACACTACACAACACTCCACGACACTATGCTCCTAAGGCGTTGCAGACCTCAGAGTGCAGTGAATTGCTCGACCCTATGAGAGCAGCTTAAGGTGTTGATCCGCCAGGGGGACTTTCAGGGCGCCATGCTCTATGAAACCCCCTGGGTGGATGAGGAGACGAAGGAGGCGATTATCCAACGTTTCGAGCCGGAGACTTACAACAGGAGGGTACCAACCGGAATTGCCATATTCATCCATATTCATCTCCGTGTGCGTTTCTTTTCTAAAAAAGAGAGAGAGAGAGAGAGAGGCATGATCTGGAACAAAATCTTAGGATAGGCCATGTCCAACCTATGGACTCGTGTCTCTCTTTTAGACTAAATGGAGGTCGAAAACCCATAGTTCGAACCCCCTGGAGCATATGATTTTGCAATTTTTCCAATTGTCAATTTTACAGTGAAATTTTCGAAGGAGTCCAATCTCATTTTAGAGTACTTGATTCGAGTCCACGTGCTGGGTTGAAATGCTGAAGCCACAAGCCTGTTAGTCTCTCCTCCCGACCGATTGCTCTGCCTAACTTCTCCGCTCTCGTGCTTCCTCCCTCCATGGCTGCACCTATCGATCTCGACCCCGAATCCCAACATCGCCAGAATTGGCTCTGCCTCATGGCTCTCCTGCCAAACGAGCTCGTCATGCAGCTCCGAAAACGCAGAAATGGTCCACTTGATCCAACAGACGATCAGCTCTTCCCTTGAGGGTCACTTGGGCCGCACCGAAAACTCCTTGACTCTCAAGCAACGCATGCCTCTCGACTCACCACCTTGGAGACTGTCACCAGCAGGGGCACACCCTCAAAGAGATGAAAAGAGTCACTCCCAACGCAGAGATTGTGCAAAACTGCAACGGGCAGGTTTCACTTCTGCCCAGGGCTCCCCTGATACTTCCCCGTCTTCGTGCTGCGGCACCAGTGGACGTCCCTTCATCATTTGATCTCGTGGTTGGTGGATGTAAGGGCTTTCTCGTGAGACCATCCACTCGCTCATCAACCCTCTACTCAATGAAGCACGGGTCATGGCAGACATCTCGGAATTCAAGTTGTTCGGCAGACGCCCCACCATTGGCAAGCTGGTCCCCCATTTTCCTTCGAACCTGACCTTCCAGGAACGGAGGGCAAAACAAGTGTTACCTTCCGGATGACTATCGAGCCATACAGGGATGCTTTTGAGGACAACAAGTGTTTCTCCTCACCATCCTTTCCCCGACTACTTGGCTGATGGCTGAATTGGATCGTCAGCAGGGCTGGCGCTGGCACCGACTTTCTGCGGCCCTTGGCCTTCGTGGTATGGAATCTGCCCCGTCCTTCTGTGTGGAACAGTGGTGTCACTTTGGAACATTTCATTTTCGCTGTTTCTTACACTCCCTGCACGATGTTGATGTCAGCATGTTTTTGTACAGGTTGGCAGCGTTTTCGGCTTCACTATTTTCTCACAAAATTGTGTGTGTGAAATTCATTGCTTCCTCAAGGGTGGCTTCTCCAAGTGAAGTGTGAGCTCCTCTTTACGTTGAGCTCCTGCTGAGCGGGGGAGATCGCCTGTTCATTTCGCGTCCCCTCAATCTGAGGGTCTTGGGCTGATGGCGCTGGAGAGACAGAGAGAGAGAGAGAGAGAGAGAGACAAAAAAAAACAATGCCAAAACCAAACCATCAAAAAGAATTGGGCAGAGTTCTATTTAAGTTTTTAGATGGTAAAGAACAAGTTTAGATGTTTTTCGATTTTTGGGTGGTTTTTGGAACTTTTTAGTTGTTTTAGAAGCTTTAGTAGGATTTAGCCATTGATGCCATGAATGCACAAATTGGTGTCACAGGGGTAGTTCAAACGGATCAGAACATGACCAGAAATATTGAGATGTTCTTGGGTTGATTTTGCTGTTTTTAGTTTGTTGTCCTGTTGGCTGCCAAGATCACAATTCAGCAGAATACCTTGAAGATAAAGCCTTATAAATGGTTCCTATGACAGTCAATAGCTCTATCGATCAATTGATCAATCAATCAACCAATTAATCAATCAATCAAAAAACACAAACAAACAACAAACAGACAAACAATCATCAACACAATCACCTCATCCCAACGCTCTCTTCCGCCACCGCCTTGTGCGGTACCACTGCGAACACTTTGCAAAAGTCAAGCCACATTCGAGTTTAATGTCATGCATATGCCCTCTCCCCGGCGCGTCACACTTCATGGTGGTAAGCAATGCAGCTAGCATGTGAGCAAACAAAACCTGCCACGAGCCACGTGACAGACTGAGACACTGAAGATAAAGAAACAAGCTAAAAGAAAAGACCAAACTGATTATCCACAAAGAAATCTTCGAAAGTTTCCACAAAAAAAATAGTTGAAGTTTTTGCAGCCGATGCTTTAACCTCCCCATTTCACGTCGTGTCTTGTTGTCACTGATGTTCTCGCATGCGTGTTCCATGCTCGCAGGCATGACTTCGGCATGACTTGTTTGAAACAGCGACACTTCCATGGGGATGATCAGAATCCCAGATTGGATTCAGACATGGTCGTACCGCAAGACCTGCCCCTTCACTGGAATGGGTCTCTAGTCTGGACTCCTTCAATTGGAACAGTCATTAGAAAGAGCTGAAAGAACGTACTGTAACTGCTGCATTCAAGCAGCTCTTGAGATGTCCTGCGCGCTGATTCTCTTGTGCTTTGCATTCCGCTGCTTGCTTCACGCAGGGGACTGCTGCTCTGGGCTTACTGTTCTGGCATTTTGCTGGCTTTCCTTGCCTTTACCATTTTGCTTACCAAAAAGGTTCAAAATTGCACATTTTTCCGCTTTGGCGCTGGAAGACTGATTTGGGGTTTTCTATGCGCTGCTGCTACTCCGTTGGGCGTGGGAAGGTTCAGTGATGGATGCTTCGCAAGATATGCTCAGCGCAAGGGATATTGCCCGCCAAACCAAGAAATGAAACACACCAGCAGACAACAAAAACACCAGCTTGCATGCACGAGTGAGCACGCTGGAAAAAAGGGCCGGAAACAACCTATAGGCACTTTTGGGTTGGGACATCTATAATACTGGTTGTTTTTTGGCACTCACCCTTTGAAACTTCCGCCCAACAGAATTGATTTCCAGATCCACAAGCTCTGCAAACTCAAGCCCCCGCTGAGGCTTGAGACCATCTGAATCTGAGCTGCCATCACTGTTTGGCACCTGCCAACCGCACTTGGGTCGATGGACTCAATGTGAATCTCCTGGTTTGCTCGCACAAACCCTGGTTTGGCAGGGAATGTAGGGGGACGGGATCACTTTTGGAAGTATTTCCGGAGCACTGTCAAAATCCCGGGGTTGTTACAGCATTCCCACTGCTATCATCATTTTGTTTACCCTTTGGTAATCAACAGAGCTGTCTAGAAAAATGGTCATTCCCGTGATAGCTAAACAATCTAGTCACATCGATTATCCAGCAAGCGAGCAGTGAACAGCAGCAGTACGAAGGTATATCAACAGCAGCAGCTTCATTACCAGCCATCCTTGTGCAGTGCTAGGCGATGCTGCAGAGGAGATCCAGCCCAACATCTGGCCTTTCCGCCCACGGGCGGTATGGCAGAGTCATCCCACTGACTGTCATGTCCAGTGTCATGTTTTGTCCAGAGCACATCCGGGAGATGTAGAAAATAAGAACACATGCGAACAAATGAGAAAAAGTATTTTGAGAAAACGAGAAATAAATGAGTCAATAATTGACGTGCAAATGTAGGTCAAACAATGAATCAACAGCCTCCTGCCCGCTTCTAAAGGAGTAGGATAACAAGATCAAGAGCCTCCTGCCCGCTTCTAAACGGGCGGGTGGGATAAGAATATCAAGTGCAACAAGAGCACATCCAAAAAAAAAACCTCATATCATATGCCATTTGCTCATTTGTTTGCCCATGAATCTTATGAAATTTGATGGAACGGCTCGCTAACTCTAGCAGCAAACCTTCGCCCAGAACCCGATCAAGAAATACTGGGGAGGCAGCGGCTCAGGCCCAGAACCGGAGCTAGAGCCTAGAGGGAACAAGGATCAAAGTTTGGGAGAACTCATTTTTGTTCACTTGTTTGGATTTTTTTTCATTTTTCTTCGAGCGTTTACTGCCTTCCTCAGTTTCCCTCCTCCCTTGGCCTCTGACCCCCTCTCCCGATTCCAGCCCAGGCCTCACCCAGCGCTGACAGCCTCTCTGGATTCCAGCCCAAGCTTTTCCTTGCTCCCACCCCCTTCACCCATTGCTTCTTCACCAGGATTGCTGCATGGCCGATGGTTCAACATTCTCTTTGTCCAGTCCAGTCTAGTTTATTCCTAAATAGATTCAATATTTGATTCTAATTGTCTATTTGGTTCCATCTTAAATGCAAATTGAATGAGCATCTACTACGTGTACCATAGTAACCATGACGTTTCCGTTCTGCACACTTGCAAGGGAAACTCAAACTCTAATAATTTAGCATTAGTGGCTAAAGTATGCACATTGGTAACCACCCCTCATAATCATAGTTGTTTCAAAACATCAACAAGCACTTTGGTTTTCTATTGCACACATCCAGGTCATGAACCATGTTCATCCTATCGTTCTTTACTCCTATTTGTGACTATGTGTTTATGGTTTTTTCCAAATTGCCATTCCCATTTTATTCACATGTTTTTCAATTTTATAATTTCCTTGATTTCCAGAAGAGGAAAGAATAAGTCCAGTTATGGTAGGTAAGAAGCGGTAAGCGTAACAATACGCAGCCGTTCTTCAGCCAGAGTGGGGCCCCACACTGGTAAATAATGGTACGTTAATGTTGGATTCATGGTAGATCCGGCCATTAACAAACCCATAAATGGCGCTTGTTTTTCTATGAAGCGTAAAGGTGAATTATTGCTACTATCAATCTCCAATGATTGTAATCCACCAGTCTGCTTTTTCAATCACCATCGAGCAAGAGTGAAGACAAATTATGTTCAATGGTCATGGGCCATCATTGTTTTGCCACCAAATCGACCAAATCCAGCAGCTTTTGCAACGCATTTGACGAAATTTACATTCAAAAACACAAGAGTGAAGGCTTCATCGAGTGAAATCTCCATCGTCGATCTGAATGACTTAGAGGATGGCATACCGTCGTGGTGGGGAACTGTTGTCGACTTTGTACTTGTATGCTGTGACCTTTCGCGGAATGCACAGTTGCCTGGAACCTGATGTTGCTCTGGAAGAGTATCACTTGTTGTATAGCCTGCACTACACTACACTCATTACAGCACACCACGACTACAACTGCAACTGCGCTTGCAAATACACTAATTACACTACATTACAGCTACAGCTCCACTACGCTACGCTACAACTACAGCTACAACTGCAACTACAACTACAACTGAACTACACCACACTACATCCAGCAGTTGTGGGTGAGGTGACCCTGCAACCATGGCAACCATTTCAAAAAACACAACTCTAACCGTCTAACCACCTTTCGGTCCATCAGTGGATTCGCTCTGCCATCCGAGATTCACAACAACCAACCTCTCCTATTGGTTTCCTATTTTTGAAACTTCCGCCACCGCCTTGTGTGGTACTACTGGTATATATACATATTTTTATGCATGTTGATATGGTTTCAATAAACTATAAGACCACCTAGCCATTCCACTGGCAGGGCCCAAAATTCCATTGGGGCCAGGAAGTTTCCATGCAGAACGAGAGCGCCTCCGGACTCTGGGTCCATCTCCAATGGGTACTGATGCATCTGGGACGAGAGGGGGGATACAATGGCGATATTATCAAAGGGTACCCTCGGGTAAACTAACATAGCTACTGAACATGGCCCATTTAGTTCGTTGATTGACCAATGAAAAATGGTGATTTTCCGTAGTTACATATGTTAGTTTACCAGAGGGTACAGCAAGCAAATCGTTTGCCAACAGAACATGATGAAATATGATAAAATGGAAAAACAACCAAAAATTATAGATCAGTATGGGGTATCATGAGATAAAAATGGATGATAGCGGCTTAACTTAAAACCAGGATTTATAGCGGATTATAGTGGGTTATATGGGTTTTAATCATTGAACACGGGTATGGGATTCAGAATTCTGGTTGGTGGATGATTGTCTTGGTAATCAACCTACAATCTATGGGAAATATACCGGTCATTTTTTGAGGAGTCAACCCTATTTCAAGGGAATCAGACGTAAGTATCCAAGTACATCCTGTGGAAGTATATTATGCTAAGTTGGGTGTGATTTGGGGGGTTGAGTCCATAAGTATACACGCACATATACATATATATATAATGTTGGCCTCTGATTAGGGCCCCCCCCCAAACATATTTTAGTCTACTCAATAACTCGGCATTTTTTGCGCCCCCCCAACAGTTTTTAGGATAGCCAACTTAAGTAAGGATTTCAATTGACATCAACCTATTTTCAATAGATTTTCCTTTTAAACCTCAAAAACAGCTCTTGGTAAGAAAGGATTTCAATTGAAATCAATTTATTTTCAATTCAAATTGAGTCTACTTTCAAGTGATTTCCCTTTTAAACTTCAAAGAAATCTATTGATAAGAAAGGATTTCAATTGAAACCAATTTATTCTCAATTCATTTGAATCTACTTTCAATTCGTTTCCCTTTCAAATGCAAAAAGAACGCCCAACAAGTTGTTGTGCACAGTAGGGTACCATCCAAACAGTTACATTATTGAGGATCTCGGTCACTCATGGGGTACCCCCTTGAAAAATTGTTTGGGTTCTGTTTTTTTAATAAGGGTTTAATAAGGCATCTAACTATTTGGGAAACCTTGCATTTTCAAGGCTTTAACATGGATATGATTTCTAAAGTAAATAGACCAATTTTACCTAAAAACCTGTGTATAAAGGTAGATAAAGCTCATCCTGGAAAAAAATGGATCTGAAAAAAAAGTCTCACAATAGAGGCTCCCCCCCACAATCACCAAGACGCTCAATTAGGAATCAAAAATGTCTCACAATAGGGTGCCATGACACTAATCGGAGGCTAACATATATATATATATATACAAGTATATATATATATACACACGCATTATGTATATCGAACCATGAATTTGGGGACACTTGGAAACTGCAAAAATACTGGTATTGAACAATTGACGTAGTGAACCATGGCAGTGATTCCCTTCAGTTTCCCACTGATTTGGCCAATATTTTTTTCGCGCCATTCCCATGGGAAGCGACCACCATACATCTTCCATTCCCAAAACTGGCTGGTTCAATCCTCAATTTGATGTTCGCAACAAAATTGAGGGATAAATATCCACATCCAGGTGGTTTATGTTAACTAACTATGTTAATCCAGCTAACGAGCTCGATAGATCACAATATGTCTAGCAGCAATATCCTACTGTAGTCATGCAATGATGTACTGTACATAGATGCGCACATGTTTTACGAATATGTTGACCTACGTTAGATATGTATTTAATACGTGTTCAGGTTTACCTACTATAAATATGTATGTTTCCAACTTAGCTATGGAAACATCGGGGCACCGACAGGTCCATGAGGATGTGGTGGTGGACGTTGTTGCAGAAGCTGCGAAACCTAAGGTGAGGCGGATCAACATTTAAACCCTAAATTATAACGACCTCACTGTTCTCCTTCATTGAAATGATGGTGAATGTATACAGAGTCGTCCCAAAATCACTTTATTTCGGGTTAGTGAATAGTTGTAATTGACCCATATAAGCCTGATTCATGGTGATTATAATTCTGACCATTATGGTGAGTATAGTGTTGATCAATGATTCTTCATGGGATACCATCTAGGAAATCAAACCTGGCTGGCTGTGAGATTCCCGAACTAAATGAAGGTTTCTAATCGGAAAATCTTCGAACTAAATGGGGAATAAATATTAAATATGTTTAGGAACATGTAACAATGATGTTCGGGAAGAGTATTATATCACGAAGGAAATTAAGTTCGTACGAACACGTATCACCAATTTCTTGGGGTGGGCTTATTTGATGATACCCAAAGCATGGTGCCATTTATGGAAAGATGTCGATCCCCAAGTTCGAACCATCATCGTTTGATCATGTTTGATAGGAAAGAAAATGGGTTTCAATCAGCTGAAATGTGGTATTTGCAAAGAAGAAATGCCAGCGGATCCAGCTTGACGGGAGAATTTGGAGACTTTGTCTCGTCAAGAAAATGATTCTTGGACAAACCCCAAGTCTCAGAAATAACCACAACCATAGCCAAGAATTCAACTGAAGGTTCAAGTGTTTGATGTTGAATGCATATCTGGTTGTTTCAACGATGCTTCTGTTTTTCCTTCCCAGTCTGTGATGATCCCAATTGACTTTACTCCTTTTCAGGTGGCTGCACCACCAGATGTGGTAAATGGATGTTCAGACTTCAGACACAGACCATTTGTTCAGTTGTGTAATGGCTGGATGGAGGCGCTGATGAAAAGAGATGTGCCAATATCTGCCATCGGATTGTCGCATTTCTGGATGTTGCTCAACGGTTTTTTCCTCACCTAAAGCCTCCAGACGCGCGCAGGATAGGTCACGCGGACTGTCGGTCCTGACAGAACCAAGTGGCCGGAGAGAAGTGGATTGTTCCATTCTGGGGGTTTTCAATGGCATTCTCCTCGTCGCTTGGTGGATGCGAAAGACCAAGTGTGTTCTCGGTCGAAATCGGAGTTTGGTTTGGTGAGGATCACGAGTGGCAGAGGATCATTTTGTGATTTATGTTGGTTGTTTGGTACATCTCGAGGGGTCACTTCTGCTTGGGCTCACTTATGCTTCACTATATATACATATATATATATACATTGATGTATATATATATATTATTATATATATATATATTATTATATATATTACACGCGTGTATGTGTAGCAGTTAAGTCAATGTGATTCGCCAATACAAATGGGGCGTATTTCCAGATTCTATACTCTACTTCTTTTGGATGAAATCACAAGGTAAACGTGCACTACCTTGGTGGAGTTCATTGTGGTATAACATATGCCTTTACACTCCAACAATAGTCGCCAACAATAATCTTAAAGCTATTGTTGTGTTTATTATATGTTTCTATGTGTTGTGGTGGTTGTGGTGGTTGTGGTGGTTGTGGTGGTTGTGGTGGTTGTGGTGGTTGTGGTGGTTGTGGTGGTTGTGGTGGTTGTGGTGGTTGTGGTGGCGGTGGCGGTGGCGGTGGCGGTGGTGGTGGTTGTGGTTGTGGTTGTGGTTGTGGTTGTGGTTGTGGTTGTGGTTGCTGTTGCTGTTGCTGTTGCTGTTGCTGTTGCTGTTGTTGTTGTTGTTGTCGTTGTTGTTGTTGTTGTTCAGATTACCTTCCCAAGCAGCCGCCCTTCGCCATGTTCTTCAGTTCCAAGGTGAGTGTCTGTCGCGAATCCGGAAGCGTCGCTGAGCGGAGAACGAATCTGAGTTGTTGGTAAATAAGCATGGCTGAACAGGGTTGCTCCAACCCACTATAGGTAAACTGGTTGGTGGTTTGGAACATGACTTTTTTCCATATATTGGGAATAATCATCCCAACTGACTAATATTTTTCAGAGGGATTGAAACCACCACGAGCAACCCTGCGGACTCACCAGGTATGTGACGGTATGTGCACCACCAAAAATGGCATGGAAAGCCCATGTGATAGTGACCAATCCTGACAGTTTTATAGATCCTCATTGACATGGAATCATTTGATCCTTTGATGTGTGGCTGATGTTTTAACAAACTGATTTGGAATGATCCAGTATGATAAATGTGTTTCAGAGGGGTGAAACCAGCAACCATTGTAAGCACTAGGCATCAATTCCCATGTGATAGTGTGATTATATAAATATATACTGGGGATTATCATTTCAGAGGTTCCAACCGTTCCAACATTCAGAAAGGGTTTTGTTCCACCATGTCTATAGATGCCTTGCGGGTAAGACATGTGATTTCAATTGCAAGGTTCGATCACTGGAGGACATGGTTCTAGCAAAATTTGCTGGCAGAACTTGTCAAAGCGACACACATATAGTGGATGTTTAGTTTAGCCATTGAGGTATCCCAAGCAGTGAGAGAAAGTTAAGGACCCTAGTTACGATATTGATGATGATTTGCTCTAGCTTTTGATGGTGATACCAGGTCCATAGATAAAGTCAACACCTCTTTCTAACAGTGGGACTATGTTATATGATGTGTGTTTTTTCTTTGTTTAAGGTGGACTTAAAATGGATTGAGCATGATCCTCATTGCTGCCCTTCTTGACCCTGCCGCGCAACGCAACGCGAAACGACGTCATTTCTAAGGCGGTTCATGGCGATGCAACGATGGAACTCGTGGAGAAGTTGGATGGTGTATCAAAACGTGGCAAGACTGCAATGCTGACCTGGCGGAATCGGCCGACCTGGCCATGACCATGAGATTCCCCATGGACCAAAATACTGCAGATGTCGGTGTTTTTGAAGTGTTTTAAAGTGTATTAGTATTATGTATTTAGTTGGTGAGTTTATCCTTCCAATTTCACTACAACTGGAACTGCACTTCCAAGTAACCAACAAACATTAAGTATTCATTGACACGGTGAAGCCAAAGTCTGGGCAAATCGTGGTTGGGTATGTAGTTCATTACAGTTATGATTAAACATATAGTTAAATATGCATGGTATCTGTATATCTATCTATCTTGCTTTCTATCTATCTATCTATCTAACTGTATTTAAAGTGTATTATGTATTTAGTTGGTGAGTTTATCCTTCCAATTTGACTACAACTGGAACTGCACTTCCAAGTAACCAACAAACATTCAGTATTCATTGACACGGTGAAGCCAAAGTCTGGGCAAATCGTGGTTGGGTATGTAGTTCATTACAGTTATGATTATACATATAGTTAAATATGCATGGTATCTATATATCTATTTATCTATTTATCTATTTATCTATCTATATTTTTATCTATCTATCTATCTATCTATCTAACTGTATTTAAAGTGTATTATGTATTTAGTTGGTGAGTTTATCCTTCCAATTTCACTACAACTGGAACTGCACTTCCAAGTAACCAACAAACATTAAGTATTCATTGACACGGTGAAGCCAAAGTCTGGGCAAACCGTGGTTGGGTATGTAGTTCATTACAGTTATGATTATACATATAGTTAAATATGCATGGTATCTATATATCTATTTATCTATCTATCTATCTGTCTAACTGTATTTAAAATGTTTTATGCATTTAGTTGGTGAGTTATCCTTCCAATTTCACTACAACTGGAACTGCACTTCCAAGTAACCAACAAACATTAAGTATTCATTGACACAGTGAAGCCAAAGTCTGGGCAAACCGTGGTTGGGTATGTAGTTCATTACAGTTATGATGATACATATAGTTAAATATGCATGGTATCTATATTTCTATTTATCTATCTATCTATCTATCTTGCTTTCTATCTATCTATCTATCTATCTGACTATCTATCTATCTATCTACCTATCTATCTATCTATCTATCGATCTATCTATCTGACTTTTTATCTATCTATCTATCTGTCTATCTATCTATCTATTTATCTATCTATCTATTTATCTAATCTATCTAATCTTTCTAATCTTTCTAATCTATCTAGTCTATCTAATCTATCTAATCTATCTAATCTATCTAATCAATCTAATCCATCTAATCTATCGAATCTATCTAATCTATCTAATCTATCTAATCTATCCAATCTATTTATCTATCTATC